CTGAAGCGAGAGCCGAGATCTGGAGAGAGGACCTCGGAGTAAATCACTTTTACGACCTCCTAGACACACAAAGCGAGCCCTTCGAGCCGAGCGACTGGCGCGAATTTTTTGACCAACTCGCCCCCAGCGAGAACCAAGAACGCATGCTAGACGAGCTACAATTGATATGGAATGCCGTCGATCGAGGAGGCGAGCAAATCGGCGAGGACCTGTGGAAAAACAGCCAGCCCCCCCGTCCTGACTCCTTAATTAATATAAACGTGGCGATAATGGACCCAACCTCGCAACACATACAATATGCATACGCCGAGCGACCAAATAATTCGAACCCAGGAACTAACATAGTATACCACGAGCTATGGCTAGACACATCCGGCAGACCCCACCGCACAGGAAATACAATCGACCCGAGGCAAAAATCAATCACGACAGTCGAGGAATGGGATGACACGCCCTCGGACCCCCCACCCGTATATGGCAGCGGCATACTCGAGGAGAAGCGGCGCCAAACAGACTATAAAAAACCCGCAATCATAGGGCCTACACACCTCGCGTACCCGAGAAATGAGGGCTGGAGACCCAAGGGGCAAAAGGGCAAAACCGACAACGGCCGTCCACGTAAGCTCTCTGACATTACCATTCACGGCATCACCGACCACCTCACCAAACGCATCACGAGAAAAATAAAACCGAACTGCATACGAAACTGGAAGAAGCGGGTCCGATTCAGAATCGACTTTAAAAAAGTGTTTAGCTCGTTCGGCACACCGCTCTCAAACGACGCCGAGGAGAGGCAGTGGAGAAAATACGTCCACAGAGCGATTAACGTCCGCAACCGAAACCCAGCGCTCACAGAGCACAAATGCCGTTTGTGCAACCGAGAGGAGGAGAGCATGCTGCACCTAGTCAAATGCTGCCACACAAAACCACTCTGGAATAAGTGCCTACAATTCTGCCGCGACACGCTGGACGCCCCAGATATGACCAGACGAGTAGAACGGGCCATAATATTCAACCAAGAAAAAGAAGACAAGATGCTTCCCGAAGTGGCATGCGCCTTCATCCGACACACATTTAATATCTTCTACCACGACTTTGCCAACGTCGATAAGGGCCACACCTTTATATGGCAAAAGGTCTACTACAGAGCCCTCACGTCCTTTCGAAGGGCAGCGATGCGATACGCGGGGAAAATCAGACTACAACACACTCATCGGATATACACCGACCTCACAGCGGAGGTGTCGGAAGAGAGCAGAAAAAAATTCGAGCAAATAATCAAGATCGACACCTCAGGAGGCTCGGGACTCACCCCAGACTTCAAAGACGCGATCACAGCAGCGCTGACCAATCTCAAAGCGATCTCCGACGCCGACAGGAGGAGCCTCGCTCACGCCCAAAATAACCAGCAGTACCATCACACGAGGCGAACACAACGCGCATGACCCGAGATCGACCCGAGATTGACCTGAGATTGACCCGAGATCGACCCGAGATCGACACGAGATCGACCAGAGATCGACCCAACCGAAGGCCCCCCTGGGGGGGGGAGATCGACCCAACAAGGCCCCAAAGCCCCCTCTCTGGGGGACCCCTCCCCCCCCACCCCGAGTGTCCGTGTCCTTCGCGAGTCACCGATGGGGAGCGGGGGGGGGGTGCGAAAAACGAACAGGGGAGGCTGGGGAGGGGGGGGTCCACTCTGAAGACTGCCGACCGCGGAGGGGTTTTGTCCCACAGGGTTTTACCCTCCGCGTGAGGATCGGCGCGGCGAGGGGGTAGGCTCGAATTCGCCGCGCAACATTTCACCCCCACAGGACCCCGCCCCCCCCCCCTCATTGGTCCCACCACCCAGAACCCCAACCTTGGCTTCGCACCCCCTCCTTGCGCAGTGTCCCCCGCTATGTGTCGCCGTCTTCGGGGCACGCTATCCTGTGCAGTCAGGGCAAGTGGGGGCGAGGCGCAGTCCCATCTCTCCTGTGTACGGGTGGGTTCTGTCCCTAGTCTCGGAGGGGGGCTTGAAGGTAAGAATATTTTATTTTTTTGTAAGGACGATCAGGCCAGGCTGTGAGAGAGAGTTGTTTTGTTTAAATTCTTTTCCTCGACGGGCGGTTGGTTGGGGGCACGAGCAGCGGCCAGCGCGATGCATTGGACAGCAATTTTCCTATGCCTGCTCGCCACTGCGGGCGGAGTACAGCCTAAAAGAGGGCAGTATACGGCGGCGCTCGACGGCGGCGACGATAGCGTGCTAGTCCGGCCGGGCAATCTGTTGCCGGCGGCGGAGCGGGCGTCGAGCAGCGTCGTGGCGGTCTCTGATCAAGTCGTGGCAGCGGCTGAGCGAGGCGACGAGGTGGAGGTGCTGGCGTGGCTCGACGGCGGCGGGCGGACCGACGCGACGTACGAGAGAGGAGAGGTGAGCGGCATCACGCTGCTGATGGGCGCCGCCGTCGGAGGCCACGAGCGGGTGGTCGAGCTGCTGCTGCGGCGCGGCGCAGAGATCAACCAGCAGAACAGCAACGGCTGGCCCGCGCTGATGTACGCCGCCAGCGAAGGCCACGAGCGGGTGGTCGAGCTGCTGCTGCAGCGCGGCGCAGAGGTCAACCTGCAGGGCAGCGACGGCGACACCGCGCTGATGTACGCCGCCAGCGAAGGCCACGAGCGGGTGGTCGAGCTGCTGCTGCAGCGCGGCGCGGAGATCAACCTGCAGGATAGCAACGGCTTCACCGCGCTGATGGCCGCCGCCGTGTCCGGCCACCCCGCCGTCGTGCGGCGCTTGCTGCGGGCGGGCGCAGACGCGGCGCTGCGCTCTGAGGCTGGCAAGTCCGCGTTGCAGTACGCCAAGGAGAAGGGCGACAGCGCGTGCGTCGAGGCCTTTCGGAAGCACCTCGCGAACTCGGTTGCGGGACGGCGCGAGGCGACGGCAGTCGGCGGCGCAGGCGCAGTCGGTTCCTCCGGGGGCGCTTCTGGCTTGGCAGTCCCCGACGAGGTCGTGCTAGCGGCGGAGCGAGGCGACGAGACGGAGGTGCTGGCGTGGCTCGACGGCGGCGGGTGGACCGACGCGACGTACGAGAGAGGAGAGGTGAGCGGCATCACGCTGCTGATGGGCGCCGCCGTCGGAGGGCACGAGCGGGTGGTCGAGCTGCTGCTGCGTCGCGGCGCGGAGATCAACCTGCAGACCAGCGACGGCCACACCGCGCTGATGGCCGCCGTCAGACACGGCCACGAGCGGGTGGTCGAGCTGCTGCTGCAGCGAGGCGCGAATGCCGACCAGCAGAACAGCAAAGGCGTCACCGCGCTGATGAATGCCGCTGGCCAAGGCTACGAGCGGGTGGTCGACAGTCTGCTGCAGCGCGGCGCGGAGATCAACCTGCAGACCAGCGACGGCCACACCGCGCTGATGGCCGCCACCATGTCCGGCCACCCCGCCGTCGTGCGGCGCTTGCTGCGGGCGGGCGCAGACGCGGCGCTGCGCTCTGAGGCTGGCAAGTCCGCGTTGCAGTACGCCAAGGAGAAGGGCGACAGCGCGTGCGTCGAGGCCTTTCGGAAGCACCTCGCGGACGCGGTTGCGGGACGGCGCGAGGCGACGGCAGTCGGCGGCGCAGGCGCAGACGGTACTTCCTCCGGCGGCGCTTCTGGCTTGGCAGTCCCCGACGAGGTCGTGCTAGCGGTGGAGCGAGGCGACGAGACGGAGGTGCTGGCGTGGCTCGACGGCGGCGGGCGGGCTGATGCAACGTACGAGAGAGGAGAGGTGAGCGGCATCACACTGCTGATGGGCGCCGCCGGCTACGGCTATGAGCGGGTGGTCGAGCTGCTGCTGCGGCGCGGCGCGAATGCCGGCCAGCAGAACAGCAAAGGCGTCACCGCGCTGATGAACGCCGCCCTCAACGGCCACGAGCTGGTGGCCGACTTGCTGCTACGGCACGGCGCGGAGATCAACGTGCAGGACAGCAAAGGACTTACCGCGCTGATGGCTGCCGCTGGCCAAGGCTACGAGCGGGTGGTCGACTTGCTGTTGCGGCGCGGCGCGGAGATCAACAAGCAGAGCAGCGACGGCGGCGCCGCGCTGATGCACGCCGCCCGCAGCGGCCACGAACGGGTGGTCGATCTGCTGCTGCAGCACGGGGCAGAGATTAACCTGCAGAGCAGCGAGGGCAGCACCGCGCTGATGTATGCCTACCACAACGGCCACGAGCGGGTGGTCGACTTGCTGATGCAGCGAGGCGCGGAGATCAACCTGGCATCCCCGCCGTCAGCGAGGCGCTTACTGTCACGGAAACAGGCAGCATACCTGGCATACCTGGCATACCTGGCATACCTGGCGGTTACGAACCTGGCATACCTGGCGGTTACGGCCCAAATGGCCTACGCCTTCAGCGTTCTATGGCGATTGTTCTCCGAGCAAGGTCGGAGGGGGCGCCCGCACCGGCTGCGTCGAACGGCGCGAGAGCGCGCCATGGCCTTGCTGTTTTCCGACATGACCGCGCTCTCTGGTTGGTGCTTCCGCGCTCACTTGTTGTTTGCTTTCATCCCCTTTGTGGTCTGGGGGTGGGCCAATACCTTGCTTTGGACCTTGGTGGGCATTGTTCGGCCCTTGGATGCGAGAGCAGCGGAACCGGCGCGAGGCGAGCGAGGGCGGCCACGGAGGCGTGGGGGGGCAGACGCTGAGGCGGAGGCGGCGCGAGAGTGCGCCCGGCTCGAGGAGAGGGCGAGGCAGGAGCAGCGAGAGGCGCGGCGAGCGGAGGCGGAGGCGGCCAAGGCGGCCAAGGACGCGAGGCGGCGAGAGGCGGAGCGCCGGGCGGCGGCGGCGAAGGCGGCGGCGGCCGAGGCCAACCGGCAGATGGCCAAGGCGCGCGATGCGGCGGAGAACCCTCCTGCGCCGGTGGAGCTGGGCGCCGAAGAGGTGTGTGAGTTGAAACAGGATCCGTTGCCTCGCTGCTCCTCCCCAGCCACGGTTGCCGGCGCGGCCTCTGTAGGTGCTCAGTGCGCTCGAAGCGGCGGTGGAGGTTGGGCGCGGCGGCTTCGGCGTCGTCTATGCGGTGGAGCTGCCCTCGCTGCCGGGCTGGGGCCGCGTCGCCGTCAAGCGAGCCCTCTCAGAGGTGGATGCGAGGGAGGTGATGGCCGAGGTGTCCAACTTGCGGAGGTGCGCGCACCGGGACGTATTGCCGCTACTCGGCTACTGCGGCGCGCCACGTGCGGCTTGCATCGTGACGGCGCTCATGCGAGGCGGCTCGCTCGATGACCACCTCCTGCTCTCACCCGACGCGCGGGCGCGGCTGCAGAAGCTCGGCTTCAAAGGCACTCCGGGCCTGTCGTGGTCGCAACGACTCTCGGCGCTCTGCGACGCGGCGAGGGCGCTGGTGCACCTCCACTCGAACCTCATCCTCCACCGCGACGTGAAGACGGCCAACATCCTGCTCGACGGCGCGCTGCTGCCGCTGCATACGGCGGGGGGCGAGAGGCGCGTCTACCCCGAGATCACCCGAGATTGCCCTAGATTGCTCTAGATCGCTCGAGCTCCACGCCTTAGGCGCGTCTACCGCGCCTTCCTCTCCGACGTCGGTCTCGCCAAGGAGCGGGCGGGCGGGTCGATGACCATGGCGACCAATGCGACCAGCAACGTCTACTCGACCGGCTTCGCGGACCCGAACTTCCTCGACTCAAACCAGCACTCGGCCAAGACGGACGCGTACGGGCTCGGCATCTCGCTGCTGATGGCGTTGACGGGCGGCGAGCCGTCCAGAGGCCTCAGGAGCACGTACGAGGACGACGTCTTGGACATGGTCGCCGGCAAGGAGGGCGCCGGCGGCGGGCTGTTGCATGCGGCGAGGCGGGCGGCCCACTGGCCTCAGGCGGCGACGCGAGAGCTGGTCAAGGCTGTGCACGGGCTCGTCTACGAGCGAAAGTCGCAACGCTTGCCTCTGCCAGAGGCGTTGGCGGCGTTCGAGGCGGCGTTGCGCTTCGGTGGCGATGACGACGGTGGCGCGGATGCTGGAGCGGCCGCGGCGGCGCCGGCTGCTGCCGAAAGACCGACGGCGTCCGGCGCCGCTTTCTCGGCCAGCGGTGCCACATCCAGCGGTGCCTCGGCAAGCGCTTCGTCGTCGTCTGGGGGCGGCTCTGCGCCCGGCTCTCTGACGCGCGCGGTCGGCGGGCTGCACAAGGAATATGTGGCGGGCGGCGGCGATGCGTCGTTGGCGCGGCTGCAAGACCGGATCAGCAACGCTTATTTGTCCATGATGGGGCATCTCGAGCGGCGGCACGAGCAGCGGGGAGGCGCGCCGCTGCCCAAGGGCAGCAGCGAGGAGGAGAAGATCAACGCGCTTGCGCCGCGCAGCGCCGGGCAGTCGCAGCTCTGCGACTCCGCGCATACCCTGCGGCGCTGGTACAATGCGTGCAGGCACGAGCGAGGCCAGTGGAGCGTGGGTGCGCGGCCGAGTGACAAGGAGGTGGCGCGGGTGATTGAGAGGATCAGGGGGTTGCTGGACCTCGTGGAGCGGCGGGCGTAGTCCGGTTGGGTAGCGAGGGTACTAGATAGAGTGTGTTCCGCGGAAAGGAGGAATCTTCTCTCCCCAAGAGCGCCACTCTTGGAGCGCCGCCACCAGCACCGCCACGGAGCGCTGCAAGCCGCGCCGAGCAATGTCCAATGACGGCTTAGCCCTAATAACCGCGCTATTTAGGGCTTAGCCCCCCCCCCCCCCCGGGGGGGGGGGCGGGCGCCAAATTCTGTTGCTGGCCGCGGGCGGGACAGTTTTCCTCGACACAGTCACGCGTGTTTTCTGGCCATATTCCCGCGAGGCCGTAGAGAGGCACAAGGGTCCAAATGTGTCAAGACACGCACTGGGGCTGATCCCGACGCACTCACCATTCCGTCTCGGTTCATCGCCGTCCAGCGACAACCATACCGCGCCGGTGTCACAGGCAGGCGTGCTAAGACTGATTTTGCGCCTTCTCGCAATTACTCGTCTTTTTTGTTGTTGTCTGCCTGCTCGCAGCTGCGCGCGCGGGCGCTCCGCGCGCTCGGCCTCGCTCGCGGCGCGCTCGCCAGCCTCCTTCGCCCGGCGCTCCTTCTGCCGGTTCTTCTTGGCCTTGCGTGCCGCGGCTCGAGCCGCGAGCTGCTCCTTGGTGAGCTCCTTCTTCTTCGGCGCGGTGCGCTCGATGTACGAGCGCTCCGCCGCCTGCACCGAGCCACCGACTCGCGGTCGCCCGCGGCCTTCTCGTGCTTCAGGTCGACCTCGATGGTCGCGTAGCCAGGCCTTATCACCCTGACACAAGACGCACCGAACAACCTTGCGACCATCACCGCGTCCTCCAGTTGCGCGCGCGATCGGAGCGCGATTCCAGGGTCCGCTGCGCATCCCCGGCGGCGCACGACGCGCGGTGGCCGGCGCTTGCGCGCCAGCCCCGTCCGCCGCCGGGTCCGCGGCCGCGGTCCCTGTCATAGCTACGCGCGCCATGGAGAACGGCGGGCACTTCTCGAGAGCATAAAACAGCGGAGAGCACAGAATGTCTCGTAAAACTAAAAGCAGAGCTCGCCTGTCGCATCTGTGCACCCCCCCCCCCTCCCTCCCCTCCCCTGCCCACAAGCGCTCGCTCAGGGCGCGACGCCCTCGGCGGCCAGCTTGCGCAGCATGTCCGCCGCGGCAGTCTCGGGCGGCTGCGGCCGCGAAGGCGCGTGGCCCTGCAGGTAGGCGACGTCGGGCAGCTCCATACCGTTGAAGTTGGAGCCGGCGCACGACGTGTACGCCCCCATGTCGGAAAAGTAGAGCCAGTCCCCAACCTCGAGCTCCGGGAGGTTGGCGTCGGCGATGACGCAGTCGATGCCGTCGCAAGTCGGCCCCCAGACAGTGCACGCCGCCACGCCCTCCCCGCCCGCCGCCTCACTGCCGCCACCGCCCGCGCCGCCGCCGCCCCCGCCCCCGCCGCCCTCGCCCCGCGCCAGCAGCACGGCGCACTCCGGCGCCGCGTGGTCGTAGAGGACGCAGTTGAACGAGCCTGCGCACAGAGGGAGGGAGGGCGGTACAGTACGCGCACACTCACAAGGCGGCGGTTGGCGGGGGCGCTGGGCCGCCGCCTGGGGTGATGGAGCGAGCGCTATAGGCTGTCGGTCGGAGGGTAGATGACCGCTATATCTCGGCATACCTCGTCCGTACACAGCTCACAGGCGGAGTAGCCGTGTACACCTCTCTCCATATCTCGGCTACATCTCGGGGGGGGGGGGGGAAGGCGAGCCGTATAGGCCGTCGTTCAGAAAGTAGTTGATCCGCACGGCTTCTGCTCCGTCGCCGTCGCCGCCGTCCACCGCCCTCCGCGCAACCTGAGGCGAGACAAGGTAGCCGTCGCCACACACACACGGCGGTGGAAGGAGGAGAGATGGGGGGGGGGGGGGGGCGTAACGCCCGCGACTCCACACCAGGCAGGCGGGAGCCCACGGTATTCAAGGACGAGCTTAAAAGTGCAAGGCCCGGTGCGCGTGGGTGAGCGGTGTGCGTGCGCGCGTGTGTGTGTGTGTCTCTATGTGTGTGTGTCTGTGTGTGTGTGTGTGTGTGTGTGTGTGTGTGTGTGTGTATGTGTGTGTGTATGTGTGTGTGTGTGTGTGTGTGCGTGCGCGACCTTCTTGCCGATCACGCACGCGGCGAGCGTGTGCGTCGACGCGGCGAAGAGGCGGCCGGGCTCGGCGATGAGACGGAGGCCTGCGGGAAGGTTCCGAGAAGGGTCGGGGAGGCGTCTGTGGAAGAGAAGGCTAGGGGGAAGGTTCCAAGAAGGGTCGGGGAGGCGTCTGCGAAGAGGAGTGGGAAAGTGGCGGAGACGCGCAAACCTTGCCGGCGCGGGAAGTGCAGGTCGAGCGCCTATTGCAAATGAAATGGTAAATCATGACCCAATTGTCAAATCCACCCGTCAAGCGTGGAGGTCGAGCGCCGCGCGGAGGCTCGCCGCCATCGACGAGAACGACACCTGCGCGCTGTCGACGCCAGGGAAGCCGCCGCCGACGTCAAGCACGCTCATCGGCCGGCCGCGCTGCTCGGCGAGCGCGAAGATGGCGGCGGCGCGCGCGACGGCGTCGCCGAACGCGTCGGTGGAGGAGGAGCCTAGAAAAAAGAAAGACAAACCCCGTGGCGGCCGGGGCGCGGTGTTTCTTTTTTCGAGCGGCGGTGGAGGAAGAGCCTACAAGACAAAGGGCCGGCCGCCCGCGGTTGGGCGATCGTGGCTCGGGCATCCCACGGCATGGTGGTGGTGGTGGTGGTGGTGGTGGTGGTGGGGTGGGGTGGGGTGAGGGGGGCGCCGGAGCCGACGTGGAAGGAGACGCCGACGACCTACGAAAGAAAAGAAGTGCGGCAGCCGTGTTTGAGTGTTCGAGCGCCGACGTCGACGACGCGCCGTCGACCGCTAGGCCCAAGCGGTGCTAGATCTCATCCAGATCTCGGCCAGATCTCGGCCAGATCTCGGCTGTATCTGGTCGACCGTCAGGCCGAGTCCGTGCGCCACGTCGAGCAGCGCCGCCGCCTCGGCCGGCCGCGCGCCGTACTTGTTTGAGAGGACGCACTGCGCCTGCGGGAGGGTCCTCTCGTGTCATCTCGTGCGATCTCGTGCGATCTCGTGCCATCTCGTGCGATCTCGTGCCATCTCGTGCGATCTCGTGCGATCTCGGCTGATCTCGTGTCATCTCGCGTGCTCGTCTGAGAGGACGCACTGCGCTTGAGGTCGTCGACGGCCGTGAGGTGTGAGCCGAGGTGCAACTCTGAGCCGAGGTGCGCCCGAATGCAAACGGGAATGCAAAATGGGCCTGTGACGTGCCCGAAGTGTCCCCGAAGTGTCCCCGAAGTGTCCCCGAAGTGTCTCCCTGAAGTGACTCCCCGAAGTGTGCAGCAAACCCTCAAGCGCGTCTGCTCTCGCAAGACCGCCGCTCGCAAGGCCGTGCAGGGGCTTCTGGGCTGGCGCCCCTCCGCCACCGGAAGCAGCGTCCCCCGACGTGTGCACCCGCAAGTGCCTGTGGCGCGCCTGCGAGTCGTCGACAGCGACGCGGAGGAGGAGGCGCATCGAGGGCGCCAGCGCCGCCATCTTGCGCAGCTCCGCCTCGCCTGCGGGGGACATGTCGTGGACACGTCTTGGACATGTCTTGGAAATCTCTTGGACATGTCGTGGACACGTCTTGGACATGTCTTGGAAATCTCTTGGACATGTCTTGGAAATCTCTTGGACATGTCGTGGACACGTCTTGGACATGTCTTGGACAAACCGCGGAGAGGGCCGATGCTTGCGCAGCTCCGACGCGCCGTCAAAGACGGTCATGATCTCGTGCGATATCTCATGTGATCTCGTGCGATCTCGTGCGCCGTCAAAAACGGTCAGCGGCACCTGGCAGTGTCTCGGAAGTGTCTCGGAGGTGTCTCAGAAGTGTCAAAGTGTCTCGGAAGTGCCCTGCAGGCGCGCCGTCAAAGACGGTCAGCGGCACGCCCTCCTTGGACGCGCACCGCACGTGGGAGGGCTGCCTACCGCGTGGAGCACGAGATCGCACGAGATCGCACGAGATCGCACGAGATCGCTCGAGATCGCTCGAGGGCTGCTCTACGGCGTGGAGTACACCGCGCGTTCCGGGATTCAGAGAGCCGGAGACTTCTTGAGAGGGGGGGGTGCGTGCCCGGTCTGTCTTTCGAGAGCTAGAGAGAGCCGAAATGCGCGTCTGCTCGGGCGCTCCAGCGTCTCCGGCGCGGCTGCTTGTGGCTGGGTTGGCATACAAGCGCGAGGCGGGTCTGTTCAGGGTCTAAGTCTCGTAATAATAATACTCAAATTCCGGGTCTACTTCTCCGGCATCTGCTGCACGGCTGCTTGATCGGGTTGGCGTAGACGATCCGCGAGGCCGGCACGCCGAGGCTGCGCACCTGCGTGCGACGGGCACCCGAGGATGGGCGTGAGAGGTGCGGCGCTGCGTCCCGAGGATGGGCGTGAGAGGTGCGGCGCTGCGTCCCGAGGATGGGCGTGAGAGGTGCGGCGCTGCGTCCCGAGGATGGGCGTGAGAGGTGCGGCGCTGCGTCCCGAGGATGGGCGTGAGAGGTGCGGCGCTGCGTCCCGAGGATGGGCGTGAGAGGTGCGGCGCTGCGTCCCGAGGATGGGCGTGAGAGGTGCGGCGCTGCGTCCCGAGGATGGGCGTGAGAGGTGCGGCGCTGCGTCCCGAGGATGGGCGTGAGAGGTGCGGCGCTGCGTCCCGAGGATGGGCGTGAGAGGTGCGGCGCTGCGTCCCGAGGATGGGCGTGAGAGGTGCGGCGCTGCGTCCCGAGGATGGGCGTGAGAGGTGCGGCGCTGCGTCCCGAGGATGGGCGTGAGAGGTGCGGCGCTGCGTCCCGAGGATGGGCGTGAGAGGTGCGGCGCTGCGTCCCGAGGATGGGCGCGAGAGGTGCGGCGCTGCGTCCCGAGGATGGGCGTGAGAGGTGCGGCGCTGCGTCCCGAGGATGGGCGTGAGAGGTGCGGCGCTGCGTCCCGAGGATGGGCGTGAGAGGTGCGGCGCTGCGTCCCGAGGATGGGCGTGAGAGGTGCGGCGCTGCGTCCCGAGGATGGGCGTGAGAGGTGCGGCGCTGCGTCCCGAGGATGGGCGTGAGAGGTGCGGCGCTGCGTCCCGAGGATGGGCGTGAGAGGTGCGGCGCTGCGTCCCGAGGATGGGCGTGAGAGGTGCGGCGCTGCGTCCCGAGGATGGGCGTGAGAGGTGCGGCGCTGCGTCCCGAGGATGGGCGTGAGAGGTGCGGCGCTGCGTCCCGAGGATGGGCGTGAGAGGTGCGGCGCTGCGTCCCGAGGATGGGCGCGAGAGGTGCGGCGCTGCGTCCCGAGGATGGGCGTGAGAGGTGCGGCGCTGCGTCCCGAGGATGGGCGTGAGAGGTGCGGCGCTGCGTCCCGAGGATGGGCGTGAGAGGTGCGGCGCTGCGTCCCGAGGATGGGCGTGAGAGGTGCGGCGCTGCGTCTCGAGGATGGGCGTGAGAGGTGCGGCGCTGCGTCCCGAGGATGGGCGTGAGAGGTGCGGCGCTGCGTCCCGAGGATGGGCGTGAGAGGTGCGGCGCTGCGTCCCGAGGATGGGCGTGAGAGGTGCGGCGCTGCGTCCCGAGGATGGGCGTGAGAGGTGCGGCGCTGCGTCCCGAGGATGGGCGTGAGAGGTGCGGCGCTGCGTCCCGAGGATGGGCTTGAGAGGTGCGGCGCTGCGTCCCGAGGATGGGCCTGAGAGGTGCGGCGCTGCGTCTCGAGGATGGGCGTGAGAGGTGCGGCGCTGCGTCCCGAGGATGGGCGTGAGAGGTGCGGCGCTGCGTCCCGAGGATGGGCGTGAGAGGTGCGGCGCTGCGTCCCGAGGATGGGCGTGAGAGGTGCGGCGCTGCGTCCCGAGGATGGGCGTGAGAGGTGCGGCGCTGCGTCCCGAGGATGGGCGTGAGAGGTGCGGCGCTGCGTCCCGAGGATGGGCGTGAGAGGTGCGGCGCTGCGTCCCGAGGATGGGCGTGAGAGGTGCGGCGCTGCGTCCCGAGGATGGGCGTGAGAGGTGCGGCGCTGCGTCCCGAGGATGGGCGTGAGAGGTGCGGCGCTGCGTCCCGAGGATGGGCGTGAGAGGTGCGGCGCTGCGTCCCGAGGATGGGCGTGAGAGGTGCGGCGCTGCGTCCCGGGGATGGGCGTGAGAGGTGCGGCGCTGCGTCCCGAGGATGGGCGTGAGAGGTGCGGCGCTGCGTCCCGAGGATGGGCGTGAGAGGTGCGGCGCTGCGTCCCGAGGATGGGCGTGAGAGGTGCGGCGCTGCGTCCCGAGGATGGGCGTGAGAGGTGCGGCGCTGCGTCCCGAGGATGGGCGTGAGAGGTGCGGCGCTGCGTCCCGAGGATGGGTGCGAGAGGTGCGGCGCTGCGTCCCGAGGATGGGCGTGAGAGGTGCGGCGCTGCGTCCCGAGGATGGGTGCGAGAGGTGCGGCGCTGCGTCCCGAGGATGGGTACGAGGGCTCGCCACACCCACTGGGGTGTGGGACGCCGGCGGCTGTGGTTTCTTGTTCCAGCCATGCATGTGCATCCGAGGGCGCCTGCCGGATCTCGGCCGCCGAGGCGCAGTCGAAGCAGGCGCCCTCGGAGGCGAGGGTGAGCAGGAGCGCCGGGTCGCCGTTGCACTTGACCGCGTAGTGCGGCACCACCTCGGGGAGCGCCTCCCGCCACTCGGACAGCTTGCGCTTGGCCGCCTCGAGGTCGACCACGTAAAAGGGCTCCTCCGCGCCGGCGCGGACCGCCGCCGCCATGGCGTCGACCACCGACGCAGGCGGCGGCGGCGCGGGCTGCGGCGGAGGCGGTGGCGGAGGCCGCGAAACCTGCGACTTGCAGCGCTCGAGAGCGGCCTTGTAGCACGGCAGCAGCTCCTCGTAGGTGGGCGTGGCGACGTTCGGGCCGCGCTGCGACCAGAGCTGCAGCCGCCACTTCTGGTACTCCTCGGGCGACATGGGCAGCGGCGGAGGGTGGTGGGCCGCGCGCGTCATATCTGCGAGCGGAGAGCAACGAGCTGGCAACGAGTGGGTGGCGCGCTTCTCGGTCGCTTGGCAGGACACACGGCTTTTCTTTTTTAGAGGCTCAATCTCGCTGGGAGGCAAAAGAAAGTTTTGGACTTATGTTCACACCGAGCAGTTGTAAGCCACAGCAGCGGCAGCGAAGGCAGCGGTGGTGTGTCTATGCCCTTCTCCGTCTGCGTCAAGGATCGGATGATGTACTCCCACACCTTCACATTCGACGACGGCGTACCCTTTACGACCGGCTGCACCGCAGTCGTGACCGCCACCTTTGAAGGCGCGGCGCTCGGGCCTTACGACATCCTCATCGACATCCTCGTCGCGCAGAAGCTTCTGCGGGAGGTCATGGAACTTTACGACCACAAGAACCTGGACGCACTGCAGGAGTTTGCGAGGCCGGATGGATCTCGCCGCAATACGACTGTCGAGGTGATGGCGCAAGCTGTCTACCGCCAGCTTCACAGCCGTCTGCAGGCTCTCTCTCTCTCTCTCTCTCTCTCTCTCTCTCTCTCTCTCTCTCTCTCTCTCTCTCTCTCTCTCTCTCTCTCTCTCTCTCTCTCTCTCTCTCTCTCTCTCTCTCTCTCTCTCTCTCTCTCTCTCTCTCTCTCTCTCTCTCTCTCTCTCTCTCTCTCTCTCTCTCTCTCGTCGCGTATACTACCATTCGCCGCCCGCACTCATAGGTCACTGCCGGCCTGCGCGCCTGCACAGGCGCACCACCACAGCGTGCTCGCCACGGATGGCAAGGGGCTCGGAGCCGTCACGGCTCGCACACCGCCCACTCCCGCAGCCGCCTGCGCACCGCCTCAAACATTCGCATCGCACCTTCAGGCGATGCACATCAAGCTCGAGGAGAGCGACGTCGCACTCGCGAGCTACTGGGAGGAGGCGAGGCCCGAAGGGCTGTTCAGCGCCTGCGCAGTAGGATCCTAGCACGGCCATGCGAGAAAAGTCCGAGGTCTTTTATTTATTCCTTTCCCATGCCAGGAGCGAGGAGGAAGTGCCGTGCCAAAATTGCGTGACCGCGAGCCGTCACGGCCGCGGTGCACACTGTCAACACACACACATGCACCCCGCACTCTCTTTAAGGGACCCCTGCGCGCAAAAGGAATTAAGTATTATTAACGTCTCCCCTAAGCGCAAAAGAAGAAACAGGCTTCCGTTTACTTCGTACACGCCGAAGCGGCGCAGGTTGTTCTCGCGCGGACCGAGCAGTCCGAGTAGCGACGCATTCAGCCATGGTGTACGTCTGCCTATTGTACGCCGGCAAGTTCCTGCAGAAGCAGCAGCCCTACGCGGCGATGACAAGCGAGTCACGCCCCCTTGAATCCCCCTCCATACCAAAACAGCCCACGCGAGCTCCCAAAATTCTGAGCACCGGATGGCCCCGTCCCGTTGCGCAGTACCGATGTTGTACGGCTCAGACAAGGGGTGGTGCATGGTGGCTGGCCACCAGGCGGCCGAGTGCCCCGTGAATCCCACTTACGACGGCTGGTGGTGGCCAAAAGAGAGCGTCCATCTCGACGAGACTCGTTGGTGCTCAAAGGAGAACGTTGTCGAATGGGACCGGAGCGGTGAGCGATACGGCGACCCGCCACAGGCCAAGTGGGGCACCAAAAAGTTCCAGGGCACGTGCTGCTACTACCCGCCCATCGAGGAGGTTTACGACGCGAGGTACGTCAAGATCCAGATCTGGGACGAGGACACGTTTACCAACAATGACATGCTGGGCGAGTTCAATGTGGACCTGAAGGAGGCGGCGGAGAGCGGGAAAGGATTTGGGGTGTGGAACTACGACTTCGACGTGCAGGAGCTGAAGAAAAACGGCCAGGCGGAGAACAACGTCTTCAAGGCCAAGGTGCGAGTCCAGTGGGAGCGGCCGCATGACAATGCCATCGCGACCACGTACGACCTCTCACCAGGTTTGCTGTCTCGCTACCATCGCCTCCAACATAACGCCGTTCAATAACGCATCATATCACCACGTCTCTCTCAGCACCGCCTCCGCAGTTGCTTCGCCGGGGGCCAGCTCGAGCTCAAGCTCCGCACCGCTGACGCGTCCTAGCCCGCCCCAGGCAAGTGGCACCCCGCCCACAGTCCTACGACTTCTAGGATTGCGAGCGGGTCCCCTCGCAATCGGTGCGATATCTGTTGGTTGTGAGGAGACCCTCCCGGTGCGCTCACTCACAAGCGCTCGCGGCTGGAGCGATTGGGAGTGCCCTCTGTGCGGCTAGCAATCCTTGGATCTTGGGTACGATTGTGAGCGCCGCCGCTCATAGTCCTACAAGATGTAGGATTGCGAGCGCTACTGCTCGCAATCGGAGGCATGTTGCTCGGATTGTGAGCAGTGCTGCTCGCAATCCTAGACTTTGCTCGGATTGCGAGCGCGCTGGTAGTAGTCAGGCGTCACCAGTCACCGGGCACCAACGCCGCGCGCCCAGCGCCACCACCACGAGGCACCGAGGCAGCGCTCGGCGAGCCACCAATGAGCGAAGCACTCATGTCGACATGAAAAAGAATTCCGCATCGCATGGAAACACGTAGTGACGCTTACGTGTTGTAACAAACGAAGAGTGATTTAGAAAATCATTTTCTTCCGAGCGTGACAGCCTAATCCGCGCGGAGCCCCAGGAGCGTGTAGCGAGCCGCTGTTGAGCAAAGCCGCTGTTGAGCAAAGCCGCTGTTGAGCACATTGCTGCCGCCACCTCTGTGGAGGCCGACGCCCAAGGAGTAGTACGTGATGCCGAAGAGCGGCGCTACCGCAACCTCCATTCGCGCTCGAGCTCTTGCGTGGGGCAAGCCTCGGGGAGCGAGAGCGGCTGAACTCTCCGTCGCAGAGGAAGAGGATGGTCCCCAGGACGACAGAGCAGGTGGTCCAGCTGCAATTCGCCACCCGCCACACGAGACGGAGCTGCGCAACCTCAGGGACGAGAATCAGTCGCTCAAGGACGAGAACCAGTCGCTCAAGGACGAGAACCAGTCGCTCAAGAACCACTCGCTCAAGCAGGACGAGATCCAGTCGCTCCAGGACGACCTCGATGCGGGGGCGGCTTCGATCGCGCCGGCGTTCACGGCGCCGACGGGGGCGGCGGCCTCGTTTGCGGAGGCGACGGTGGCCGTGCGTGCGCCCCCGCCGCCCCCACCGCCCCCGCCGCTGTCGCTGCCGTGCCCGCCCCTTACGGGCAGCGGTGGGACCGACATCGACAAGCAGCACGAGACCCAGTCGCTCAAGGACGAGATCAAATCACTCAAGGACCAGCTCAACAGCGTCAGCACGCCGAGCGCCACCGCCACTTCGCGCGACGGCAAGGCCGACGCATTCCCCGCACCGCGCCGCCTTCGCCACCGCCACCGTCCCCGCCCACACACCGCCGCCGCATCCGCCGCCGCCTCCCTCTCCTCCGCCGCCGCGTCCGCGTCTGCCTCCCTCTTCTCCGCCGCCGCGCCACCCTCCCCGCCGCCTTAACCCCTCCCTCTCTCCGCTCCTCCCAGGTCGACGCACAGCCCGCTGCAGAGTGGGGCGTCGCTGGCTGGGTGGACTCCCTCGCCCTCGCTGAGGTGGTGGCCAAGGCGCTGAAGGAGCCTGCCGGAACCACCGACCCGTTCACGTACGTGCTCAGCCTCTCGCTCGCCGACCTCAAGGAGAAGCTCGAGGCGGTAAAGCTGAGTGAGGCGATCGCCGAGACCCTCTGGTCCGCCATTGAGAAGCTGCGCGGCCAGAGCGCCGCGACCGGGGCGGCGCTGAACGCCAAGTTCGCCGCGGAGGGCGACGCGTTCAAGGGCGAGATGGGCTTCGGCGGCGTCGAGCAGTTCTACGGAGGCGTGCTGCGCGCCAGTAGCTTGCCTACCCTGCCCGCCCTCTCTCACCGGCCGACCCCCGTCCCCTGACCTGTGGGCAGGCCTCGAGAAGCTCATCGGGCCGCCGCTCATGGTGGACGGCTCGCTCTTCAAGGCCATGGAGACGGAGCACTGCAAAGAGAAGGATGCGGACGTGCCGTTCGACACCTCCAACGGCATCGAGGGCGCAACGTCCCGGATGGAGTGGGAGTTCGTCGTCGCGCCCGTGGTCGAGGACCACAACAGCCGCTACGCCGAGCGCGGCGGCGACTTTCGCACGGCTCATCGCGAGTGGTGCCGCAAGCCGGAGCCGCTCTCTGCCTACGAGGCGAAGATGGCGGACGAGATGAACCCGAGGCTCGTTGAGGCGGGGCAGGCGCCGCTCACGTTGGAGGAGCTCATCGCCGGCCGGATGTACACGGGGCCGATGTACGAGAAGTATAACGCCGTCCTTCGCTTCTCCTCAGCGCGCGGTGCCGACGGCGCTGTGCGGCTGGAGTACGCCTCGATGGAGGAGGTGCCCTTTCTGCAGACGAAGTGCGGCACGCTTCACCTCGGCGAGTGGGTTGCGACGGCGGCAGGCGAGCCAGCCGCGGTGCGCTGGACGTGGCACAACCAGTACTCGACCACCATCCACGCGATCAACTCGATCATCGTCAAGCTGTCGCCGCTGACCAGGATCACGCCGCTCTACCGCGGCTGGACGGGCGCCACGCTCCCGGAAGCCTTCTTCAAGCCGGACGTGCTCGGCTTCCGCGGCGGCGTCGAGTACGGCTTCTCGTCGACCACCACCGATCGCGCGCAGGCGGTGCACTACGCGGAGGGCAAGGCGTCGACGGTGCTCGAGCTCGTGATGGGCATGATCGACCGAGGCGCCGACATCTCGTGGCTCTCGCAGTACCCGCACGAGAAGGAGACGCTGCTGCCGCCGCTCATGGGCCTGCAGGTGCGCCAACCTCCCACGCACCGCCCCCCCCTCTCAGTCCTCGACATGCTCTCATCGCCTCCGCCCCCTTCCCGACACCTGCAGGTGCGTTCGACGGGCGTGGAGGGCAGCACGCTCGTCGTCCAGTGCAGCTTCTCCATCAACATGGCCTCGCTCACGCTCGAGCAGGTGTCGGGCAAGCGCAAGAAGCTGCTCACCGACATGGGCGCGCAGATGGCGGCGGAGGTGCGCCGCGGGGTGGCGGAGGAGGCAGCGGAGGAGGCGTCGCAACTAGTGCGCGCCCGGCTCGGCCTCGAGCGATGCGCGGACGCCGGAGGCGCGGCAGACAAGCGGCTCGAGGCGCCGCTCGGCGACGAGGCCGAGGCGTACAACTCTGACGTGCGCTTCCAAGCGGCGGTGGGCGACGCGCTCAAGGTGAAGCGCTTGGTGGTGCTCGCGGCGACGATGCAGCACGGCGGCGGCGGCGGGCTTGCCGCGGCGATGGATACGGTATTGCCGCTGCAGGCCAGTGGTGTCGATTTGACGGTGTTCGACCTTGGCAGCGACGATGGCGTAATGGTGGGAACGGTGGTCGCGTGGATGGAGTCGGAGCCGTCGGCGCTGACGTCGCTGACGCTTGACTGGGGCAAGGCGTGCGGTCGCGTGCGGGAGGCGCTACTCGGCGTGGTGCGGACGACGCGCACGCTCATCGTGCTGAGCGCTGGCGAGGAGGGGGCGATGAAGCTCAACCCGCTGCAGCTCAACGGGCGCGAGGCGGTGACGTCGCTCGATGTGTCGAACAAGAAACTCGGAGACGAGTTGGCTGGCGTCATCGCGGCGGGGCTTTCGGTCAACGAGGTGATGACCACACTCGACATCAGCCAGAATGACATCGGCGACGAGGGCGCCAAGGCGCTGGTATCTGCTCTGTGCGTCAACGAGGTGCTGACCAAGCTGAATCTCGACGGCCTCGAGCTCGACCTGCCGAAGCTGCGCGGCACCGACCCGGTCGAGTCCCTCGACCTATCGGGCAAGGACCTCGGACCCGCCTCGGCCATCGTGATCGCGTCGTTGATTGCGGGCAACGAGGTGCTGACCGATTTGAACCTCTTCCGCAACCAGATCGGCGACGAGGGCGCCAAGGCGATCGCCGAGGCGCTCGCGGTCAATGCGGTGCTGAAAACCCTCAACCTCTGCGACAACAACATCCGCGCCGAGGGCGCCGCCGCGATCGCCCAGGCGCTGCGCGTCAACGCGGCACTGAAAACACTTTCGCTCGGCGGCAACAAGATCGGCGACGAGGGCGCCAAGGCGATCGCCGAGGCGCTCGCGGTCAATGCGGCACTGAAAACACTTTCGCTCGGCGGCAACAAGATCGGCGACGAGGGCGCCGTCGTGATCGCCGACGCCCTTCGCGTCAACGAGGTGCTGAACAAGCTAAACATCTCCTGGAACCAGATCGGCCCCACCGGCGCCGCCGCGATCGCCGACGCCCTCAAGGGCAACACGGTGCTGACCTCCTTGGACGTGGGCTTCAACGACCTCACCGAGGAGGCGGCCCTCGGCATCGTGCGTGTCGAGCGGCAGCGCAACAAGCTGACCTCGCTCGGCTTGGCTAGCTGCAGCATCGGCCCGACTGGCGCCGCAGAGATCGCCGAGTACGTGTCGGGCAGCGCGGTGATGACCGAGCTCGACGTCTCGTGGAACAGCATCGGCGCCGCTGCAATCGCCGAGGCTCTGCGGGGCAATGGGGTGCTGACCAACTTGAACCTCCGTGGTAACCGCATCGGCGCGGAGGGCGCGAAGGCAATCGGCGAGGCGCTCGCGGTCAATGGGGTGCTGACCAAGCTGAATCTCGACGGCCACGAGCTCGACCTGCCGAAGCTGCGCGGCACCGACCCGGTCGAGTCCCTCGACCTCTCGAGCAAGGACCTCGGAGCCGCCTCGGCCTTCGTGATCGCGCCGTTGATTGCGGGCAACGCGGTGCTGAAAAGCATCGATCTCCGCTTCAACGACATGGATAATCATTGGATCTTGGGGCTCCTTGGCCTCAACGGGGAGAGAGTAATTCGAGATGCGGTGAGCAGGCGGGAAGGGTTTGAGCTCCAGATTTGAGTGAGCTCTGATAGCGGAGTTCGCGCAGAGGGGGTTGCATGAAATTGGACTGTCTTTTACGTTGTAGCGCTCTCATATTTCCTTTTTCTTTTTCAGCAGGGTGGGTGCTGAAAAGCACCAACCTCTTCAATAACAAGTTGTGCCAGAAGGGGAGTAGAAAGCGATTCGAGATGCGGTGGACGGCAGGGTATGGCTAGGGGAGCCCGAGGAGCGTGAGCGATCCCTCTGTGTGCGGGTCCCCCCCTCCCGCCTGCACGCTGCAGACTGGTCTCTGGACCTTCTTTTAAGTGCCGAGTTTCTTTCGCTGACGTAACTGGTTCCGTGTTCTTTTTCTTAGTGTGTACAATTCTTACATCTTAGTGTGGTAGTGCCAGTGCAAGCCAAAGAAAGAAAGAAAACAGCGTGAACCCAAGGGACTCGGATGGAGAGCGGAGAGGCCACCACACCTCGCCGGCGGCCTGCCAAAAGTTGAGACCTACCGCGCCTACCAGTGGAGAGGTACCGTATGCTCGTCCGCCGTCTCCACCACGACGCGCACCGGCAGCCTGTCCGGGTCGCGCAGTAGCTCATGGTCGCGTTCGTAGTGGAAGAGAGCGCTGCCACTGGGCCCCCACCACCCGCAAGCGTTCACCTCAATCAGCTTTGCGCGGCCGCTGGAGCTGTCCACGTGCGCATCGACGACGCAGTCCGCGTACGGCGAGAGGGGCGCGAGCTCCTGCCAAAGGCGGATCAGTGATGGCACGGCGGCGCCGATGCCTCCGTGTGGCCAGCAGCGCGTCGCCAAGTTTGCTGCGAGATGCCGGCCACGCGCCCGCCGCATACGATCAGGCGCCACTCGTTGTGCGCGCTGATGCCGTGCTCCCACGGCTGGACGACGAGGTAGCGCGCGCGACCAGCCGCCCCGCCGCTGAGCGACTGCCGCAGCACATCCTCGCTCGAGCGGTGGCGTGCGGTCGAAGCGGCACGTCGTTCTTCGCCGACTTCTCTGCTGTCTTGACAAACGCTTGGCCGCCGACGGCACGTATCGCCTCTGTGAGAGCACCGATCAGAGCCGGCAAACCCTCCAGGTCCTCTTCGTTGAGTCGGCTCCCGTTGTACACCGCGTGCCGGATCGCGACTGACTCCAGAACGTCACGGTCGGAAGGCGCGAGAGCGACCAGGTGCGCTGCTGGCTGCATGTGTCGCCAGTGATGAAAGGCAAAGCCGGCGTTATATGCATTGTCGAGCGCGCCGCAACCCGCATGCGTGCGAATCTCGGCCGCGTGAGGCACGTCAATCGGAGCCTCGCTCACGGTGACACCACAGCACGGTGATGAGAGCTCTATGCTCTGGCGCGAGCGAGGCCCAGACAGTCGGATGTAAGTGGAGCTCACGGATGAGTGCGGGTTTCCTTGTCTTCTTCAATTTCCCTTGGGCTGCTGCGCCGGAGGCTCCGACAGCGTGGGGACCACAGTCATTTTGCGGGATATGCACGTGGGAAGCACACGGCCGGGCGGGGGGGGAGCAACAGCCTGGCGGTGAACCTTCTTTTGTAGACCGCTAGGATTGAGAGCAGCCTCGCTCTCAATCCTAGAAGTCGAAGGGTTGTGAGCAGCACTCCTCGCAATCGTAGCATCTCTGTACGATTGCTAGCACCTACGCTCGCAATCTTACGTCTTCTAGGACTAAGAGCACAGCTCCGCTCCCAAGGTGACTGGTGACGCCTACGACTACTACCAGCGCGCTCGCAATCCGAGCAAAGTCTAGGATTGCGAGCACGGCACTGCTCACAATCCGAGCATCATGCCTCCGACTGCGAGCAGGAGCGCTCGCAATCCTAGAACTTTCGCCGATTAAGAGCGACACCGCCCACAGTCCTACGACTTCTAGGATTGCGCGCGGGTCCCCTCGCAATCGGTGCGATCACTGTTTGGATTGTGAGGAGACCCTCCCAGTGCGCTCACTCACAAGCGCTCGCGGCTGGAGCGATTGGGAGTGCCCTCTGTGCGCTGCTAGCAATCCTTGGATCTTGGGTACGATTGTGAGCGCCGCCGCTCATAGTCCTACGAGATGTAGGATTGCGAGCGCTGCTGCTCGCAGTTGGAGGCATGTTGCTCGGATTGTGAGCAGTGCTGCTCGCAATCCTAGACTTTGCTCGGATTGCGAGCGCGCTGGTAGTAGTTGTACGCGTCACCAGTCACCTTGGGAGCGGAGCTGCTCTTAGTCCAAAGCTGCAAGTAGACGGCCCTCGCTGGCTTTTGTGCCCCGCTCTCGCGAGCGAGCGGTAACTTTTGTTGAGCAGCGCGTTCGATGTCATGTCTTATGAAACAAACGCAAGGCGGACACACACATCCTTCACATGAAAAATGTTTGTTTTGTGTTGTATGTAAGAAGTGAGTGCAGACGTTTCTTGGGTGGCGGGGGGCGGGGGGCGGGGGGGGGAGTTGGAGGGTGCGGTGGCGAGGGCGGCAAAAGCCGGGCGAGAGGCGAAATATAATTAAAATGAACTCGGGGGCACGGGACGCGCACAAACACTGCGTTCGCTGCCGCTGGCTAAAGAAAGAAAGAAAACAGACAGGCCAAGGGAGGGATGGGAGGACGGCACGCCGCCACCACACAGGGATTTTAAGAAGAGGGGTGTCGCTGGCTAAAAAAATAAATAGAGCAGTCATCTCCAGGGAGAGATGGGCGACGCACACGAACACAGAGGGACAGTGCGCACCCCGCCCCGCTCGCAGGGCGTGCATCACACAGGTCTCAGGTGGACTGTGTGACTCCTCGGGTTTCTGGGACTCAGAGGTGTGCTAGTCGCTATTCTCCGACAATTCCGACATATCTGACGGGCAGTTCGGGCTCGAGCGGTCGCGGTCGCGGCCAGCGCGTGAGGCCTGGCTAGGGTTGCCGGGCGAGAGCTCGACCCACGCGCCGGAGCGCGCGTGGTGCTTGAGCAGCCGGGCGGTCGCCGCAGCCACCTCGAAGGGTAGCTCGTCGAGCCACTCGCCGAATGTGCCCTCTTCCTGCGCCGCAGCGAGGAATTGCTCACCTAAGCCGTACGCGCGGCAGGCCCGGTAGAGCGCCTCGTTCTGGATCTCCTCCGGCGCCTCGGAGTCGTAGCCGCAAACGGAGGAGCCGGCAGAAGAGGCCCGCTTCGCAGGCGGCGCGTCAGGCGACGAGGAGCGCGAACGCCGCGGCGGCACACCGTCGCCGCGCGCGGAGAGCGCGTTCCTGTTGGCGGTGTGAATCGTGTACTGTTGGTTTTGCGTTCATGTGCGCGGTTTGTGTTGGTGCCGTTAGAGAACATCGCCGATTGCGAGCACACCGCCCACAGTCCTACGACTTCTAGGATTACGTGCGTTCCCACGTCGTGCTTCTTTTTGAGACGGCGTGCAGGCTGCAGGCGTCTCGCCTGTGGCTCGCTCTTCGGCCACCCTCCGGTCGCCACAGAGCCTCCCCGCCCGCACCCGTCCCACCCACCCCGTCCGCCCGACCTCCCCACCTTGCCCCGCCGCAAAGCCTCGCGTCCGCACGGCCACCAGTCTTTGCCACAGCCACCGTGCACCGAGAGTCGCATGCCCTCGTCAGGCGTAAGTTGCGGTAGTCTCGCTCGCGCCGCAAGCTCGCGACGAGGCTCCGCTGCCGCTGCCGCGGTGCCTCATCACGGCGCCCATCATCTTGGACTTGAGAGGCGTGACGCCGTCTCGAGGCAGGTGCTCGGCGAGATCGACGCCTGCGCGATGCGCGCAGGGCGGCATGGGCGGGCGGCATGGGCGGGCGGGGTGTGTGGAGTCGGGGGGTGGAGTGGGCGGGTGCTGGGTGTGGGTGTAGGGTGTAGGTGGGGGTGTGGGGGTGTGCCGTCGGGGCGTGGCGCACCCATCTCCTCCTCCTCCGCAGTCACGCGCAGGAGCTTGGCGGCCTGGAGCGACCCGAAGACGATGGACGAGGTGGCCACCGTCCAAGCCAGCACGACAAGCGTGCCGAGCACGTTGGTCCCGAACTGGCCCCCGTGGCCCGTGTAGAAGAGGCCGCCGCCGCCCACGTAGCCCAGCGTGGCCACCTGCTTGGGCCACGCGAAGAGGCCCGACGCGATGCAGCCCCAGAAGCCGGGCCACGCGTGCACCGCGCCGGCGTGCACGGGGTCGTCGATCCGAAGCCGCTCGTGCAGCCGCCACGAGCCGCAGTAGACGGCCCCGGAGACGATGCCGATGATGGCCGCCGCGTAGGGCTCTACCACGCCGCAGGGGCCAGTGATGCCTACGAGCCCCGCCACGATGCCGTTCATGCACCTGGGGAGTGGGGGGGGGGGGGGGGATGGGCGGTGGAGGACCCGGCGGGCGCGTCAAACTGTCAGCTGTCGTACTAGCTACTACGACTGGCTACTAGCAGCTAGGTGGAGCAGCGAGGTGGAGCAGCTAGCACCTAGCTCCCTGTATGTCGCAGTAGCCCACCAGGAACTTCCGCTAACTACTTTTACTACTGCGACTACCGACCACTACTCATCGCGTCTCACTTGGAGGTGTCGTAGTAGCCCGCCAGGAACTTCTCGAGGAGCAGCACGGAGAGGATCGAGGCCGACGGCGAGATGGTCGTGTTGACGCAGATGAGGGCCGCCGTTTTCCACATGCCGCCCGTCGTGCCTGCGCGCGGTGCGCAGGCGCTAGGCATGGCGAGGCTGCGCCGGAGTGCTGCGCGGTGGGCGCGCCGGGCGGCCTGGGCGGGCGTGTGCGTGGCACCGAGCGTGTAGCCGGCGTTGAAGCCAAACCAGCCAAACCAGAGGCAGTAGACGCCGAGCGTCGTGAGGGCGATCGAGTGCCCCTCGATCTGCACCGGCCCCTTGTCCGTGAACCTGCCCGCGCGCGGGCCCACGACATACGAGCCGACCAGCCCCGCGGCGCCGCCCAGCATGTGCACAATGCCGGAGCCGGCGAAGTCGATCATGCCGTAGCCAAAGGCGGCGTTGTCGCCCCACGCGCACAGCCAGCCGGCGTCGGCCCACAGCCAGTGCAAGGGGACAGCGTAGATGAAGGCGGTGACGAAAAAGGAGTAGATCAGGTAGCCGGCAAATTGGGTGCGCTCCGCCATGCAGCCGCTCACGGTAGTGGCTGCGGTGGCGGCGAAGGCCCACTGGAAGAAGACGATGTGGTAGTCGTCAATAGCCACGCCCTGACATGTGCGCCACGAGCGCGGCTGGGAGGGCGAACGGCGGCGGTGCAGGGTTGTGCAGGCGGGCCGCGCATGCCTTGAGAAAGAACTTGTCGTTGCCGGCGAATTTGTGGTCGGCGCCTCCACCGAAGCCGATGGCGTAGCCGAGGGTGAAGAAAGCCGCGGCGCCGATGGCGGCGTCGCACATGTTCTTCAGAAGGATTGAGTGCAAGCTGGTCGAGCGGAGGCAGCCCGCCTCCCACATGGCAAAGCCGGCCTGCTCCCAAAAGACAAGCGCGGTGCACAGGAGCACCCAGGCGACGTTGATGGCAGATTTCAGGTCCTCATCCTCCATGGCGCTTTAACGTGCTGCTGTCAGACTCGGTACCTAATCGGACGGAGGCAGTCCTGGGAAAATTCAGCGCGGAGCGGGCGGCACAGGCCCGGAGCCCTGGCGCGGGCGTGGCGCGGCAGGGCGCGGCGCGGGCGCGGTGGCGCGCAGAGATGCTGGCCGGGGATCGGAGGGCGGAGGCGCGGCTCGGGCGGCGGCGCGAGCCTCTGCACGCGTCGCGCGGGCGGGGAGGGAGAGGGAGGGGCGAGCGAGGGAGGGGCGGGGGGCGGGCTCAGCGGTGCGGGGCCCCGGCCCTCGCGCTGGGCGGCGGGCGCGGCAGGGCGCGGCACGCCTCTGCACGGTGCGCTCGTTCCCCCCATGATGGGGTCCGCCTTCTTTTTCTTGAGATCCACGCCGGGCGAGGGGGGCGGATCGGGCGGGCGGGCGGGGAGGAGGGGAGGGAGGGGAGGGAAGCTTAGCCATCAGCTGCAGTCGAGCCGAGGCGGCGGCAGCCGCTGCAGCTGCACCGCCTCCCGTCGCGCCGCGGTCGCCGCCCCCTCAGCGCCGTCGCCGCGTCGTCACCCGCCGCAGCCTCTCCGCCTCCGCCGCCGCCCCCTCCCGAGAGTGTGGTGGCGGTGCGACAAACAGCCAGGCTCGGACTAGGCGCATGCGCCCAGGAGGGGAGGGGGCATGCGTAACGACGCTGCTAGAGATGCCTTTCGGGGCCCAGAGATAAAACTTCTGTGATGCCATGCGTGACCTAGTAGTGTCCCCAGCTATGGGCGTGTGTCCACGTTGGAGCCAGGTGTGGTGTGGACGCGAGAATAGCTCCGCCGTTCGTGGAGGCAACCGATGCGAGTCGACTGGTGTGTGTCGTCGTGGTTTCGTATCAAGAATACTAACCTGGAAGTGCATTTGCGAGCTGCGACAAGGGCAGCCCGTGCCGCCCCACCTCCCGGCCACCGACGTAGAAAAGTGAGGCACCATAAGCGACCGTCGAGACCTCGAGTCCGTACCTCTGCGAGAAGAGCAGCCGGAGCTCGTCGAGTGTGATCTCACGGCCCTCGTCCACCATGATGTGATCCCACATGGTCCACGTTATGCCCTCCCGACCAAACACATGCCGAGGTGCAGCAAGCGGCGCCGAAAAGGCCAGTAGGGGCAGCGCGAGATTGACAAAGCCATTTTGGAAGTCGCTGAGCGGCTTGTCTGGCTGAAGTAGCTTCAGAAGCTCCAGCGAGGCGAGGCCGCTCACCGCTGCCGTTGTGGTTGCAAGGGCGGGCAGTATCTTTCCTGCTATCTGCTTGATCCGGAGGCGAGCAGACTCGGCGATGTCGTAGTTGCGCGCACGCAAGTTGGCCGCAGCGACGACGAAACTGACGTGATCGTCATCGTCCTTCTCGTACGCTATTGGTCTGATCGTGCGGCCAGAAATGGATCCTGGCAAAGGCAGGGATTCCCTAAGTGTGCTGCAAGCCTCATCGTCACCGTCTCCTGTAGCCTGGGCTAATGGCGGTTGATTAGCGACCAAGCGGGCGGTCGAGTCGCGGCGGGTGCAGACCGCCCTCGCGGGGCTGAGCGAAGTGGGCGCTGACGAAGGGGCTGACGCCGACGGAGCAGTAGACGAGGAGGAGGCGCGGCTGGCGGGGGTGTTGCACGGCTTGAAAGAGGCGTACCGCGCCAAGGCTCACCAACTCAAGCAGCTCAAGGTGCACGTGGGCGCCTTGCAGGCGAGCTGTGGCGCGGCGCAGTCCGCGTTTGACGCTGAGTTCCGTGCTTGGTGGGCCTCGATGCGGCATGCCCACGGCATGGCCGCCGAGGATGACGCGCTACGGCGCACAGCCACGCCGCTGCTCGGCGAGGCGCCACCGCCGCCGGCCACCGCCAAGGGCAGCGAGATTGGGGATTCGGCCGGCGAGCGGCGCGCGCCCCCGAGCTTGGCACAGCTGCGAGACCCGGAGGCATCTTTGGCGCTCTTCAGGTCGGAGGTATGGAGCGAGGCGGCGCGGTCGCGGCGCGAGCGCCTCAAAGCGGAGCTCTCCGATGCCGTGTCCCAAGCCAAGGAGAGCGGCGCGCTCGTTACGCGCAAGCGGGACCAGGTGGCGAGGCTCAAGGAGTCACTTTCTGCTCATCTGGGGGCCGGTGGCAGCGCCGCCGACGAAGAGGCGATTCGAGCAAGGCTAGACGTGGAGAAGGAGGGGTACCGGGACGAGGTGTCGGCCTTGCGAAGCCTCAAGCGACGCGTCGAGGAGCTTCAGGCGTCGCTCGATGGTTCTCAGGAGGAGCTCCGAGCCGACTTTGCCGCGTGGCACGCCCCGGCACTTGCGCAGGCGGAGCGGCGCGAGGGCGGCTCGGCCGGAGCCGCGCGCAGTGGCGCGCCGCCTGGTGCGCCGCGGAGGGCATGGGACTGACCTAGGAGTAGCACCTCCCTGCACCCTGGGATCAAAATCAAAACTCTTTAAATCAACCACGCTCCAACACGGCGACAGCCAGTCCGAAACGACATCCTCAACCCGCACCCGTCGGCCCGTGCACCGACGGTTGGCACCGCATCTCCTGATACCTGAAGCTCGGGGTGTCACTCTCTTCCAACCAGAACCGCGGACCGCGCCTACCGATCACACGACACACGTCCCCCCACGCGCGGTGACTACTCGTCGCGCGTCGGCGCATGCCACGCACACGTCGGACCGGCGCCCCCACCCAGCAATCTCTCACACGGAGCTCGCACACGTCCATCAGCCCCATCCTCACATCCTCCTCACAACGGCGGAGCGCTCCTCCTCCTCTCACGACGCCCGCCGGCTGCGTCACACCCGCGAGTGCGACGACTTGCCGGCCCACGCCGGCCTTCGTTTGCTCGAGCGGCAGAGGCGCCTGTACAGGACGCACGCGCACAGCCCGAGCATCATCCCCCACCCCGCCCCAAAGACGCCGCGCAGCATCGACAGCGGGTCCGGCTCCGGCTCCCGCGGCGTCTCGATCCGCCCGTCTGGCGCCGCCGCCGCCGTCGACGACTGCTCGGCTCCAGTGAAGGGGGCCGCCGCGGGGCTCGCCACCTTCCGCTTCCCCTCCCGCTTCGCCTCCCGCTTCCCCTCCCGCTTCCGCTCGAGCTGCTCGAGCTCGCTGCCGCTCAGCTTTGGGGCCGTCGCTGGCCGCACGCCACGCCGCAGCTCTGGGTGCGCCACGAGGTGCTCCTCCTCGAGCTTGGCGGCGAGGGCGCGCAGCCGTGTCGCCTCGGCGAGAGCGTCGTCGACGTTGGACGCGTTGACCACCCCCGCCGTCACAATGTCCGCCGCCATCGGGTGAGGCGTCGTCGTCGTTGGCGTGCCAGCGGCGGCCGAGAGCGGCGTCGGGGGCGGCGTGGCGGCGGCCGCGGCGGCGGCCGCGGCGGCGGCCGCGGGCAGCTCCGCCGCCGGCGGCGCCAGCTTTGCTGCGGCGATGTGGCTGAGCCGCTTCTCGGCGGCGGCGGCGGCGTGCTCGTCTGCGGCCCTGGCGTGCGGGTGCTCCTTGTAGTGCGCCTCGTGAGCGGCGGCCGCCTGGGTTCGGGTACCGTGGGGTGGGGGAGGGTGGGTTCGAGTACCGTGGGGTAGGGGAGGGTGGGTTCGGGTACCGTGGGGTGGGGGAGGGTGGGTTCGAGTACCGTGGGGTAGGGGAGGGTGGGTTCGGGTACCGTGGGGTGGGGGAGGGTGGGTTCGAGTACCGTGGGGTAGGGGAGGGTGAGTTCGGGTACCGTGGGGGTAGGGGAGCGGCGGCCGCCTGGTTTGCGTCGGAGTAGAAGAGCTTGATCTCGCCCATCGGCCGCAGCGGCGCCGGCGCGGTGCCGTTAGCGAGCGCGAGCCCGCGCACCCACGCGGGGATGGCGTTGGTGGCGGCGGGCGGGCACACGTCGCACGAGACAGGGCAGGTGCCCTCCATGAAGCCCGGGTTGGACTTGCACTCGCCACTCGCCGCCCACTTGAGGCACATCTGGTTCTGGTCGGCGCAAGACTGCTGGCCGGCCTGAGGGAAAGGTCTAGGAAAGGTCTAGGAAAGTTTCTGGTCGGAACAAGACTGCTGGCCGGCCTGAGGGGAGAGGCAGCCGGGGCCGTGACAACCGCCTTGCGTGCGCCTGCGGCTTTACCGCGCGCCGTGCGCGTGTAGAGATTGCGGCCCAGAGGCAGACGCCACGGAGCGGGAGAGTGGCGCGCCGGCCAGAGACAGGATCTGCGCGCAGCATCTACAGGCGGCTGGCCGTCTTCCAAGCCGGGCAGGTGACGGCGTCGGTGGGAAGGCCTGCGTGGTGCAGACGTATGGGCTCACTGGCTAGAGCTCGCACTAGAGGCCGTCTTCGCATTCGCCTTCCTGGGACCCAGTGCTGCCTGCTGACTGCCGTCGCTGTCTCTCCCTTCTCGACTGTCTGTGCTTGTGGGCCTGGGCTTGTGTTTTTGCGTGGAGACGCCGGCATCAGGGCGGGAGGACGGCCCCGTGCATTGGACTCAGAGCACCGCGTGAGTACGAGAGGGGGGCGACTGCACGACTGCAGTCGAGTCCGTGTCCTCTCGAGCGCCGGTTTGGAGGACAAGAGTGCGTGTTCCGCTTCTAGGCGGGCAGGCCCATATCTCCCCATATCTCCCCCATATCTCCCCAGATCTCCGCTTCTAGGCGGGCAGGCCCTCGCTGCCGGCGCGGCCGCACCCGCCCTCGCCCACCGGCCGGTTGTAGTAGTCGCACATTGCGTCGTTGAGCTCGAGAACCGTCTCGGCGCACAAGCGCTCGATGTGCCTACTCACGGCATACGGTGTGCCGAGACGCTGTTCCACAGCTCGACGGCGCGCAGGCACCGGCGCTCAGTGTGCCGCGGCGCGGGCGGGTCGCCGAAGGTCTTGCCGGAGCACGCGTTTGCGTCGAAGCCGCCAAAGGAGTACTTTGTGAACTTGAAGCTGCCCACCGCGCAGTGCAGCCCGTAGTGGATGATGTACGATTCCTGTGCACACCGCCATCTGTGAGTGAGACGCTGTTCACAGGCGCCGAGGGTGTGATCACGCGTGCCACCGACCTGTGACAGGCCCAGTGGTACGGACGGTGGCACCGTGTGTGGACCGTGTGTGGCGCCTCGTGTCGGCTCCTCGAGCCATTCGCACGCAGCGTGTGCGTGTGTGTGCGTGTGGGCCCGTACTCCGTGCTAGTGCTAGGAGGTGTGTGAGATTGGCCTGAAGGGTGTGTGTGCGTGTGGGCCCGTCCTCCACATGCTGGGAGGTGTGCGAGACTTGGCCTCAAGGGTGTGTGTGCGTGTGGGCCCGTCCTCCACATGCTAGGAGGTGTGTGCGAGACTTGGCCTGAAGGGTGTGTGTGCGTGTGGCCCGTCCTCCACATGCTGGGAGTGTGCGCAAGACTGGCTGGCTGACCTTTGGGCGCGCGGCGCCCACCTCGTCGGGGTAGACGACGACGCCTTCGGTGAGGATGTGGCGCAGCTTCGCCTCCGCCGCCGCAAAGACGTACCCGTACCTGTTCGCAGTGCGTTTGAAGTGGACGGACGCCGTTGGACGAGCAGAAGAACAAAAGAGGCGGAGGCACATCTCCGAGATCCAAGGCGCCGAGCCGTGGCCAACGTATGCGTCACCGGTCAGTATGTCGGCCGGCACCGACAGCTGGCCCGAGTGCTCGTCCTTGATGCTCCAGTACTTTTGCGGGTTGGTGCGCACCTCGATCTCGTAGTGCAGCCAGCGCGGCGCAATCGTGCGAATGTCGTCAATGTGGAAGAACATGTACCAGCCGCCGGCCGCGTGCCGCTTGCCGTCGGGGCCGGGCGGGTTGTAGTTGTTGACGTCGGCGCCCGCGTACTGCACCGCCTCGACGGACGGCAGGAACTGCGCCGGCAGCCCGTTCCTGATGCCCGTGTCGAGGTAGCCGACATGCTCCGAGACCACGACTCCCTTCTTGACGCCCATCGCGATGGGGTCGAGGGGCTTGCGCAGCAGCATGTCGGCGTCGATGTAGAGGACGTAGTCGGTGCTCTTCGCCTCCTCCGAGTGCATCACCCACTCCATGATGGAGCCCGGCTTGTTGTACGAGGGCGACGAGTCCTGCGCGCGTGAGCCGGTCGGCGGGTGCGTCTCCCCCTCGGGCACGCGCCGCTTGTGCTGGATGCGGCCGTAGTTGCGGTGGACAAAGGTGTTGCCGAGGTTGAGGCCCTTGTACCTCTTGAGCTGCTCCTCATCGCACGCCAGCAGCCGCGTCACGCCGCCAGGCATGCCCGAGAGCCGATGCGACCAATACACGCCGATCGACTTGTAGTCAAAGTTGTTTGTGCATTCGGCGCAAAAGACGGTCCAGACGCGAGGCTCCTGAGGCTCGGGAAGCGGAGCCGCGGTGGCGGCGGACAGACTCAGGAGAAGAAGCCGAGTTGGCCGCGGCATGTCTGTCGCCAAAGGAAAAATCGCTTGAACCTAGGTACCGTACAGATGTCTCCCCCCATCCCCAGGGCCTCCAGGACTCGCACCTCAACCTCTCACAGACTCAGTTCAGGAGGGACAGCGCAACCTATCCCTCGTTTGGCTGTCTTTTTCTTTCTTTCTTTCAGCGCAAAGCGCCATAGGACGTATTTTCTTTCTTGTCAATAACGAGGTCTGTGTGTGAACAGCAGCTCCTGGCGCATACGCCTAGTTGGACCTCAGATCGCCCGACCGCGTCCCGGTGCTCTCTGTGGTCGGATTTGTGACGCCGCCGCACCGCGCCGCGGCCGGGGGCCCTCGGAGGCCGAGGATGGCCGTGGCGGACCGGGACGAGCTCTGGGAGGTAAAGTGCCAGTGAGTACATTGTAGATACTGACCAATGTGCACAATATCTCTCACTCTAGCTAAGCCAGGGGAGGCGATACCAGGGGGCCGTACAGCAGCTCGATATGGCCTTCGCCGGCGTGCGTCCCGGGGGAGCGTCCCGGATGGGCGGTCCGGGGGAGGAAAACGACACGGGACAGCGTCGACACGGCGCCCTGATTCGACTTTTGACTTTTCAATAAAGACAGTCGCACGCGCCGCAGCGCGGCGCGTGCGCGACTGCCAGGAGGCAGGAGCGGAGAGGACGATACGTCTTAGTTGTGTTCGCGCGCCGGGATCGTGTCCCTCACAACCAGCTGCAGCTCACAACCTGCACAGACTTTAGGCCGAGACAGTAGCAGTGCCATGCAGCGGACGAAGCAGGAATGCAGGGCGGGCCCTTAAGCTCACTTATCCACGTTCACCCGACCGGCACGAGGCTCGGCACTCGAGCTCGGCGCCACCCCGTGGACCGTGCGTGCCGACACTCAGATCATCTTGTGGGCGCGGAGGGCTTGCGCGTGCGCGCTTCCGGCGACGCTTGCGCGGAAGTGCGCCGTCTCACCCTCGCGCAGCCCTTCGGGCGCGAGGCGCGCTTGCGGGGGCGGCGAGCTGAAGGCGACCAGCGAGAGCCGGCGCGGAATGGCACCCGCGGACGGCGTGGCGGTATCCTCGCGGAGCTCCGCGCCCACGTCTCGCACGCGGTGCGTGGGCGCGGACACGCGCCCGTTTGAGCGGATGTGCGTCGCCCAGCCGAGCATGAGGATCGCGTCGTCCGCCGACGGCTTCACGAGGTACCACGTGCCATCACGTAGCACCTCAAGGCCCGGGACGCCGCCATCGAAAATCAGCGCCATCGTGCCGTAGTCGCGGTGCTCGGCGCATCGCAGCGGGCGTGGCGCCTCAGCACCGCAGGGCGCGCCGCCGTGCGCCATGTAGTCGGAGAGGCGGTACTTGAGCGAATGGGCCTCGGTGCGCAGCGCGGCGCAGCGCGTGACGCGCGCGAGCGCTTCGTGCAGAGTGGACAAACGGCCGTGCATGACGGCGTCCAGGAAAGCAAGCGGCTCGGCGGCGAGCGCGGCGAGCGCCGGTGGCAGCGCCTCGTGCGCGCCCAGCTCCGAGTGGCCGAAGGCATAGTCGAGCACGCGCTTCTGGTCGGCGTTTTGGCCCGGCTGCGAGAGCCATGGCCAACGACCCTTCCACGAGAGCCCGCGCTCGAGGCGGCCGGCCTCCGACGAAACGCCGAGGCCGAGCTGCGCGTGGCGGGCGATCACGCCGTCGAAGAGCGCGCCTGTCGCCTCGTATGGCGCTCCCACGCCGGCGCCGACCAGCCGCAGCACGCCGCCGCTTTGCTCGATAGCCGCGGCGAGCTCGTCCACCGGCGCGTCACACGCCACTGCGATCGGCTCGAGCCAACGCGCGTGCTGCGCTGCTCGCTCGGTGGCTCTCTCGGCGACGGTCGCTTTCTCGGGCGAGGGAGCGGCGGCTTGGGCACGCGAGCTGGCGGCGATGGGTGGTGGCGGGTGATTGGACCAGAGCCACGCGTGATCGCCGTCTTCATCTTCGTCGAACTCGGCGAGTGCCTTCACTTTGGCCGCAACGGCGCAACGCGGCTGGCGGCGCGCGCGCGGCAGCGGCATGCGTGCCATGCTCAGCCACGCCTCCTCGCTCGCGCCCGGCCCGTGCAGGCGGAACTGCGCGGCGCACAAGGCGGAGCGCTTCACGCGATGCCACACGCTCGCATGGTTCGCGCGCAACAGCGGCAGCCGCGGCAGGCAGCCGAGCAGCGCGGCGAGATCGTCAAGGTAGGTGCGGTACTGACAGAGCGCTGTCAGCCGGCCGGCATCGCGCTCGAAGAACCGCGTCTCCGCAGCGCGATCGCGTGCGATCGCGTCGATCATCGCCGCGTGGCTTGGCAGCGTGAGCTCGCCCGCAAGCAGCGCCGCCCAGTAGCGCGCCGCCAGCTCGCTCATCGGAGGCACCGCACCAAAGGCCGGCCGTGCGAAGCCCACGAAGGCGAGGGTGGCGCCAAACGCAGGGCACAGCATGTGCTTGAAGCGCGTGCGCGCGTCGCCCGCTGCGCGCGCGAGGTCGGGCATGTGGCGCTCGAAAAAGGGAAAGGAGCTCTCGTAGCCGGTGCAGCAAACGACAGCGTCGAACGCGCAGCGCGTGCCGTCGGCGAGCATCAGCTGTCCGTCGGGCAAGAGCTGTCGAACCTCGCCAACCTGCGCGGCGCCGTGGTAGCGGATGGCCTCCAGGAAGGCGAAATTCTTCGTGCCGAAGCGGCTGAACGGCAAGTTGCGGTGGCGGTGATTCCACGCCATCGCATCGCGCTCGAGCTCGTCAAAAGTGGGCGGCTGCCGCGCCGCCCCGAGCGCAGTGCGCACCAGCTCGGCCTCGCGCGGGCTGCCCTTGGCGCTCTGCAGCACTGACTTCCACAACCAGTGGTACTCCTTGGGCCCCCACGCTTCTGCCATGTTGGCGCGCGAAGTCTGCAGGTCCGCCGGCTCGTCGGCCGTCGCCCACCGGCCAACGACTGCGCCCGGCCCGTTCGCACGGGTGCTGATGGCCACGTGTGCCGCGCCCGCCTTGGCAATCGCGAGGGAGAGGTCAGAGCCCGCCTCGCCCAAGCCCACCACCAGCACGCGCTGCCCGGCGAAGTCGGCGGCGCGGCGGAATTGCGAGCTGTGCAGCACGCGGCACGGTCCCGCGGCGCCGGCGGTCACGTACGGCTCCGCCCACGCCGGCCACGCAGGCGCCTGGTATCAACAAATTACATCGGGCGGCGGCAGCACAACGGGGCGACAGGACAGGACACTCCTGATGTAGGCCGGAGCAGACGGCGAGTGCATCGAAGGTGTGCTGCTCGCGGTGCGCGCCGCCGCCCTCCCCGCCCACGACGACGTCGACGATCCACGCGCCGTGCTCGTCGCGTCTAGCGGCCTCGACGGTCGAGCCGCATTGGACGTGCTTGGTGAGGCCGAAGCGGCGCTCGAAGGCTTGCAGGTACTGCACGTAGTCCTCGGCAGACCAGAAAGTGGGCGAGGCCTCGCGCCCGTCCGAATGGCAGCCGAAGGCGGTGATTACCGAGGACGAAGTGAGCTGTGCGCCTTCATACGCCGTCGCGAAGGCGCCTCCGATGCGCGAGCCCTGTTCGAACGCCGTACACGCAAAGCCGCGGTCGAGACACTCTTTGAGCACGATGAGGCCACTTGGCCCGCAGCCGATGACGCCGACGCGGAGGGCGGCGGGCGCAGCAACGTCACGCGCGTGGCCTGCAGGCGCAGCGACCAAGCGCGCTGCACCTCCACTTGCTGCCTGGCGCCGCAGGACGCTCAACCCAATCGCTTGTCGCCACACTGCCGAAGCGGCCGCCTCGTCGCCGCTCTCAAAGAGCATGTCGCCGAGCGCGCACTGCGCGTGGATACATCCCGCTGCGGCAAGGGTTTGGAGCTCCGCAAGCGAAGGCGCCCCCGGGAGGGCTGCCATCGGATTCACGCTGCAACAGCCATCCTGCCGAAGCTGCCATCATGATGGCGGATCCGATGGCTGAGAGCTCTTCCAACCCATTGATGGCTGAGAGCTCTTCCAACCCATCGCACGCCTTTGCTGTCGGCGAGCGTGTTCACGCACGAGTGGGCGCCGAGTGGAAGATGGGCACGGTCGTTGACCTGCAGAGCAGCGAGCACGGCTCAGCTGTCACGTACGAGGTGAAGCTCGACGGCACCGCGCGAGTCGCAGACGGTGCGACTCTCTACGTCTCCGATGACGCCAACGAGATCCGCGTGCCGTGCGAGGTGGGCTCGCCGGCCAACCCTAAGAACGCTCGTGATTCGCTCACTGACCTCCTGCAAGAGTGCACCGGGACCGGCTCGAATTACTGCGTGGGCGGCGAGTGGACCGCTGGCGTGCTACCGGAGATCACGCACCAGGAGACCGGCGAGTTCCGCTACCCGCTCAGCGCGGAGCAGGCCACCGCCTTCATCACGGCGTCGCAGCGCTCGGGCGTGGGCACCATGACGGACACTGTGATCAACCTCGAGGCGCGCAAGTCGTGGGAGGTGTGCTGCGGCCTTGCACATATACACATAATGCGCACTGCCGATACCTCTCCGCCGTTGCACATATACACATAATGCGCACTGCCGATACCTCTCCGCCGTCTCCACCGCCACCCTCGTCACGTCCACCCTCGCCGCCCCCCGCCCCCGCCATCGACACCAGCACCTCCCTCTCCTTCGCCTCTGGCGCTGCCCGCCGCCCTCGCGCGTAGCTCCTGCCGGCCGACCTCAACTTTGTCAATCACGACGAGTGGGAGGCCTCCGTCCTCCTGCCGATGCTCGCGCACATCTCGTCGAGCCTCGACCTCGACGACTGGCAGCTTGGCGCGTCGCTGTACAAGATGCTCGTGTACGAGGAGGGCTGCTTCTTCCGCCGTGCGCCGCCGCCGCCGCCTCCGCATGCCGCCCATCGTCAGACGCCCATCGTCAGATGCCTCCCACACACTCGCCGCAGGCCACAAGGACAACGTGCGCATCGACAACATGTGGGGCACGCTCGTGATTCAGCTGCCCTCTGTGTACGCGGGCGCGGCGCTGCGTGTCTACTCGCCGTCCGCGCCGCACGACACCACCACTTTCGACTTCGCCGACGCCGCCGCCGCCGCGCCGACCAGCGCGCCGGCGGCGTCTCGCAAGAGCGCACGGCTCAAGAAGCAGGCGGAGAAGGCGGCGGCGGCGGCGTGCGCGGCGTCGAGGCGGCTCAAGTTCGCAGCCTTCTACGCCGACTGCCAGCACGAGGTGGACACGCTCACCGGCGGCCTGCGCTGCGTGCTCGTGTACAACCTGACAGGTGTGGATGTGGTAGGTAGAGAGGTGAAGACACAGTCTGACCAGCGACTGGACACCATGCGGTGTGGTTGGACGGAAGCGAGGCGGAGAGCCGGCAACACTGGAGCGACACACAGACACACAGACAAGACTCTCAGCTAGTAAGGCTGCCACACACCCCGAGTGAGCGTACGGCACTACGTCACCTGACAGGAGTGCCGCTCGAGAAGACGCTCGCCAAGAAGCGCGGCCTCAGCGAGAGCGAGTGGCGCGGCGCGCCCTCAAAGCTGTGCGCGAGCCCGCCGCAGCCGGCCGACGAGGCGCTCGTCGCCAAAATCGCACACGCGTTGCGCGCGCTCACGCGCGAGACGGATGCGCACTACCCTGACGAGACGTACACGGAGGAGGTCAACTCGTACAGCCGGGGCAAGGCGCCACCAGTCCTAGTTGCTCGGCCGTGGTGGGTGGCCGATCTTTGGGATCCAAGTTGCTCACTGCTGCTAGGCGCACGAGTTCTGGCTCAAGAGCCTCTCGGCGGACGAGCGAGCCGTCTACGAGTACTCCTTCTCGTCTACCGAGACGTACGGCGACAACCAGAAGCGTGTCAAGGCGGCCTTTGAGCAGCTGCCGCCGTCCGTCGCCACGCGCTTCCGCGCGCTCGCCACCGCGGCGTCGTTCAAGGAGGTGACCGTCAAGCACGGCAAACCGGCAAAGCTCGTTGCCGTCCTCTCGCACTTCTACACGCCGCAGACTCTCACCGGCCTGCACGCGCTCAAGGGGCGCGATCGCGTCGTCGGCGAGCTGCTCGTCGCCGCGCTCGGCTGCTCGCGCGACGTGACCGCCGTGCCGCGCCTCTCGGCGCTCGCCGCCTCCACTCTCGTCGTCGAGGACCCTCCCGACTACCAGGCGCTCGCCAAGGATTCGACGGCGATGGCAGTGGTCGAGCGGGCCGTGCGGGAGCTCTGGCGGCCGGAAGGCGAGGCGGGCGAGGGCGAGGCGGGCGAGGGCGAGGCGGACAGTGAGGGCGGCGGGCCGCGCGTCGAGGCCTTCCTCTCGCTTGTCGTGCTGTGGGACTACGGCGAGAGCACGCCCGACCCGCCCGCCTTCACCTTTGGCCCGCTCATCCCGCTCGTGCCCGGCGCGACGGTGCCCGCGGACCTCAAGAGCGCCGTCGGCCCGAAGCTGCCAAACTTCGACGAGCGCGGCATGCGCCAGCTCTTTCAAGGCGAGGGCATCAACTGGGCGGACGACGAGTACGACGAGTACGACGAGGACCCCGAGCTGTACGAGTACGACAACTGGTGGCAGATTGGAGAGGTGCGCCCCAGCGAGCGATGCCTGAACATCCTCGCAGAGGAGCTGCTGCTCGCGGACGCGGCCGTCGCCAAGGAGCTCCGACGCGGACAGGACGACTCCTACCGCGAGCAGGCGCTCGTGACGGAGGGCGACCCGCAGCGCGTCGAGTTTCTCGGCAACGGCTGCCCATACCCAGGCCAGTGCTACGCACGTGCCGCCATCCTCTTCTGGCCCACCGAGGGGCGCAACGAGGTCCTCCGCCAGTCGCCCGCGGGGGGAAAGATGCTTGACGCCGCGGGCGCAACCCACTGAAAGGACGCCACTCATTCTGACGAGCGGAGGACTCGCCTCTCACCGCTGCACAGCAGGGCGGAGAGGATGGCGAGCAGCTCGGCCTCGGGAGCCTGCACGGAAGAGGGAGTGAGGAGCAGCCCGCATGCTGTATCGGCAGGACGTGCGCCTCGGCGCTCCCGCTCGCAGTACCCCGTGAGAATGAGAGGCGCCCTGGGGGGGCACGTGGAGTGCGTTGGACCTCCGGTTACATTCTTCATGAGCTCTTGTGTCGCGCCGTTTTAAGGTAAGGTAAGGTAAACTTCTCCACACACACGAGGTGGTGGGGCAAGGGGGGGCAACCCTCGCGTCTCCACGTCTAACGACAGGAGTCCCACGGCATTTAAAGTGCAAGGCCCGGTGCGCGTGGGTGAGCGGTGTGTGTGTGTGTGTGTGTGTGTGTGTGTGTGTGTGTGTGTGTGTGTCACGTCACTGCATCCTCTGCCGGTTCCTCCCGTCGCCTCTTCTTTGTTCGAATGTTTTTCAATCCATCCTTCACGAAGCCCTCCCATGTAGCTAGCGTTCTTTGCGAATGTCTCGAGATGGCCAGCAGGCGCTGTCTGTTCGCGGCCTGTGCGGGCCGCTCGTCCTCCTCGCCCTTCTTTCGTCCTCCCGTCCCTCCCCTCCACCATGAAATGGTCTCTTCGTCTGTCCGTCCGCGCTCTCACATGCAGATGCACAGCCCCGACCGCCGACGGCGACGCAGGGTGCGAACAACGCGGCCGCCGATACCCCTGCGTACATGAGGCGAGAGTCCTCCCTTCGCGGTTGTTTTTTTGACAAGAACGGGCCCTGCGGCGCCGGCGGCGACAAGCTATGTTTCGATTGTCTTGTTCTTTCGATTTCGATTACGGATTAGTGACGCCACCGTTTCTCTTCTGTACGGAGCTAAGTGCCCCGCCGTCCTCGCAGGAGTCGCTTAGGCGGCTCCCGTGGTGTACCTGTGTTAGTGCCAGTGCGCGCCAGTCCCGTGCCCAGTGTTGTGCTGGCCTTCGTAAAATTCTTCCAGTCCGCGCCCTGTTTTTCTTCATTTGTTGCCAACCAGGGTTCCGACTTTTGGGGGGGAAGGGTAGGGTAGCATCGCGGGATTTGGGTTAGGGGGGTAGCTAGGGGGGTACGAGCTCGCTCGAGGAGCAGGGCTACGCCAACATCGAGGCGCTCATGGAGGAGCTCGACGACATGGCGCTCTCACAGGCAGCCGCCGGCTCCAATGCGGTCCAGAGCAGCTGAACCTGAAACGCTGAAAGGCTACTAGCGCTAGCGACAGGGCACAGGGGAGTCAGAGACACGGTCGCTGTGTTTAAAAAAAGAAAGAAAACTGCTCATAACAAGAAATCTCACACTCGAGGGCACGACCAATATTCCACATGGGTGCTCATGGGAGGATGCGTGGGCCGCACTCGACCACAACTGTTGGCAGCGGCAGCGAGGAGGTGGAGCTGGCCGAGCTCTCACCAACAGACAGCTCGATACTCGAGTCTTCCTGCACGCCGCCCTGTTGTGACTTCTGCCGTGGTCCTGTAGGGTGCTGTAGCCCATATCTGAAGCGCGCGTGGGCGGCATCTCGGAGACGCGCAACCGCGATGCGGCGGCGAAGGAGCTGCCACTGCCGCCGCAGCATCCCCGCGCTGCACGGTGCCGCTCCCATGCCACGCAGCACGAGGCGCAGGCTCACCGGGCGGTGCTCCTCCGACGGGTAGAGCGGCACCGCCACCGTGTCGTAGAGCTTGTACGGCGACCGCTGCAGGACCTGCGGCGTCTGCTGAATAAAGTGCCGGAACGGGCGGCCACCGCAGCTAGGGTCCTGCTCGTGGACCAGCACGATGGCGATGCGCCGGTCCATTGCGGCTTGCACGAGGCGAGCGACGATGCCGCCCGCATCGAGAAAGGTCTTATCGTTCAGGTAGAGCACGAGCACGACGTGTCCTGAGAGAGGGGCCGCGCTGGCTCTCTCGAGCGCCTCCTCCGCATCGCGGATCATAACCGTCTCGGATGCAGCAGAGCCGTCCCCCTCCCGCGCCGCCGCCTTGACCTCGTCTGCTACGCCAAAGGCGCCCGTGTTGCCGCGGCACACGAGGATGGTGACGGGGCCGCTGAAGGCGACGGGCCCCGCCTCGCCGGGCACCATCACTCCTTCAGCAAGCTCGGCCGGGTGGCTCGCGTAGTGAGGAGAGTGCAGCAGCATGCGCAGCGCGACGGCCTTGAGCGACTCGAGCTGAAAGGCGTTCACCCGCACCCACACGATTGGCTCCGCCTCCTCAAACACGCGCGCGAGCATCTCGTCTGGCCCGCGGTAGGAAGGGTAGGCGGGCGGGGCGACCTCGACGCAGCTCTCGCGGCACTCGGCCTTCAGCGCCTCGATCGAGGCGCCGCCCTTCGCCGCGTCGGCCTCGAAGATGGGGATGAAGGGCCGATTTGAGGCGAGCGCCGCGTACAGCTCGCGGCGACAGTTGAAGCTCTTGAAGTAGCCGGCGCTGAGGAAGACGAGAAAAGACATCGCATCGGCCACCGCCTCCTCGAGCCTTCCCACATCGTCGAGGTTATCGACGTCGAGCCAGATCCGAACGCCGGGCAGCAGCAGTTGCAGCTGGCGCACGACGGTGTGCGTCTGGTCCTGGCCAGTCCCCCACGCGTGCGAGATGAAGCCGTGGAAGTGGCACTCGGGGCACAGCTCGAGGGCGGGAGGGCGACCGGTGGAGGCGAGGCGGATGGTGGGCGCTTGGACGGCGCTGACTGTCTTGAAGAGGACGACGAGCAGCGACGTAGCGAGCATTGCGGCGGTGAGCGCGATGACAAACTCGCTCGCGCCGCGCGCGCTGTCGAAGCCGACGAGGGTGTAGCACATGTTCTCGTAAGCGGCACTCTCGCACAGCTTAATCACCGTGCCGGAGATGAAGCAGCAGGCGAGCAGCAGATTGGCGGTGCACGCGAGATAGAGGTCGTCGACGCGCTTGAAGGGCCGTGCGAGGGCGAGGGCGGCGAGGTAGAGGGCCGAGACGAGAGACGCGACAACGAGGCGGAGCAACTTGCTCGAGCCATCGTCGGTTTGGATAAAGAGCACCAGAGACACGAGGAAGAGCTTGCGGCCCACATCGACGACCTCCCAGAAGAGGAAGTCCGGGTCGTAGTCGCGCCAGAGGAAGCGGCTGGCTCGGGCTGTGGCCCCGACTCGCTGCGCCCGCACTTCGGAGCGGATCCAAAGCAGGAGCGCCAAGAAGCCCAGCGGCACGAGGACAGACCAGAGGGTGAAAAAGGCCCAAAAGTACGGCTCGAGACCGGACGTGACGGCGTCGCATGTGAGCGACTTGTCGGCCACCAGGAAGCTGATGCGTTTGCTTGTGTCGTCATCGTAGCCAAAGGACTCGCACAGCCTCGCGCTGAAGATGGAGCGCGAGACGGAGGGGAGCACGAGGTAGGCGACAAGGATGGCCCAGTAGAGCAAGCGATTCAGCGTCGCGGGAACAAGAGTGCGACGGAGGCTGCTGACGCGACCAGACAGAAGCCACACCGCAAGGGCGTAGCAGGCGAGGGCGGCGGCACCGAACAACAAAGCTGCGATCGGCCACAGGCCTGCAACCAGGAGCCGGTTTCGCATCGATCCAATGCACGCGCCCGGATAGGTGAGGCCGATAACGTCGAAGCTGAGCAAGTCCATAAACTCGGTCCAGCGCGTAAAGACTTCGTCGAGGCGGACACCGTAGACAGGCCCGAACATCCCCACGATCTGGTAGAAGCTGACCAGGATCTTGAACTTGGGCTGGAAACCGACCTAGGCAAGGTATACGTGTTGCCACACACGCTAGTGTGGTGTAGCAACGAGCTACTCCCATCCTATTAGGCAGAAAGCCTACGGCAAGTAACGTGCAAGAGGGTCGGGATTGCGTGTCCGGGGAGGGGGGCGGGGGGTCCGTCGCCAACCTGCGACTCGACGATGTCAAGACGTGCGCTGAAGCGGCCCCACGCCTCGGTGCGGGCGAGAGCGCGGTACGAGAGGAGCGCCGTTCCTGCGAGAGCAACGACGACTCCCGCCAGGATGCCGAACCGCCCCCCTGTCGGGCAGTCGACGCAGCCTCGCTCCGCGCGGCTGAAGTACTGCTCGTCGCTCACGCACCACTCGCAGAGCGGGCCGGTGTGGCCGGCGGAGCAGTACGGGTCGCCATCTCCGTCGGTGAAGTGGCGGCCGATGGAGGGCTGACCGGAGACCCCAGGGCACGTCTCTGAGTCACAGCGGTGAAGCTCCGAGGTGGCGTCGGAGGCGCGCCAGTAGCCGACGTCCACGCCGAGGGACGCGAGGGCGGTGCCAGCGCTGCAGTTGGCGTGCGGCGGGCACGGCTTGCAGTACTCGGTCGGTTTCTGAAAGACGTCGCCCGGAATGGCGCTCGCGTCCTTCAAGTAGAAGCCCTCCTTGCAGATGGAGCAGGTTTTGTCGCCGCTCTTGGAGCTGAGGGGGTGTGGGCAGGGGATGCACTGGCCTTGGCCGGGATTGGCGGCGTAATAGCCCGCCTCGCACTCATCGCATGAGTGGCTACCGTTATTCGAGTAGGATCCCGCGAGGCAGTCCTTGCACTCACTCAGCCCGGGCTCGGCTGCGAAGCTGCCCTCTCGGCACGGCGTCTGCTCGGTGGAGCCCGTGGTGGCGAAGTAGCCGGGCGAAGTGTCGGTGCACTCGCCCGCGGCGGTGAGGTTGGTCGCATTTGAGAATGTTCCCGCGAGGCAGGGGCGGGGCACACTTGTCCCAACCGGGCAGTAATGGCCAGCGTCGCAGGGCTGCGCCTCATAGGTCGCCTCCTCGGGGCATTGGGAGCCGGCAGGGCAGCGGCCGGCGCAGCTGCTGCTCGACTGGTCCTCGGGGTCGGCCGAGCCGAGTAGGCCGGCGGCGCAGGCGAAGGGGAAGTCCTGGTCGACGGGCTGCAGCGGCAGCTGGTAGAGGTTCTTGCCGAGGAGGGAGGGGTCGCCTCCGGTCTCGTTGTTCCAGTTGCAAGGCTGCACAAAGGTAGGGCCCTGGCAGTACCACTCGCTTCTGGTGTCGAGGGTGAGTGCGCAGTCGTCGCGGTGAGCGAGGCAAGCCGTCTGTTTAGCCTCCTCGACGTACGGATTGTAAGCGCACGCCCCTCGGTAGACCTCGCAGCGCGCGTTCGGCAGCCAGCGGCCGGCCGGGGCGGGGAGTGCGTAGGAGACCTCGCCAGCGAGCAGGAAGATGGAGCTCCCCTCCTCCTCGGCAGAGCAGCCGCTGATGAGGGTGCCGTCGCTCAGGGAGGTGCTCCCGCCCGCCGAGTAGAGGCCGCCGCCAGACTCTGAGGCGCTGCAGTCAGAGATGTTGGAGCGGGCCAGGCTGGCTGAGCCCGAGGATACGTACATGGCGCCGCCTTGCTGGGCACGGCAGCCGGAGAAGGTGGAGTCGGTCACGACGAGGTCGCTGGCCGTGTATGTAGCTCCGCCGATATGGAGGGGAGGCGCGAGAGGCGGCTGTGGCTCTCCTTGCCTTTGCTACTCACCGCTTCCCCCCCTCTGTTGGCTTGGTTCCCCTCCGACGCACCTCAGCCGAGCATCGCGTCACGGTCGAGCCGATTAGCGAGACCGCACCGCTGTCAGATGCGTAGACGACACCGCCGCGCTGCGGTTGCGAGGAGAGAGCGGGGTGAGTCAGCCGTGGCCCTCGCCATCTCTCACGCCGCTGCCGTGCGGCGCTGCTGGAGGCAGCTAGCTCTACGCGGCGCACTCCAGCAGAGCATCGCGTCACGGTCGAGCCGATTAGCGAGACCGCACCGCTGTACCTCACGAAGACGAAGCCGCCGTCCTGCGGTGGCGAGGAGAGAGCGGGCTGGGGCAGCCGTGTCCCTCTCTTTCTCGCCCCGCCACAGGGGGCGGGAGCTCTACGCGTCGCACCTCAGCTGAGCATCGCGTCACGGTCGAGGCAATTAGCGACACCGCACCGCTGTCATATGCGTAGACGACGCCGCCGTCCTGCGGTTGCGAGGAGAGAGCGGGGCGAGGCAGCGGTGGCCCTCTCTCTCTCTCTCTCTCTTCCCCCTTTTGCGCTACTGGGGGTGGCTAGCTCTGCGCGGCGCACATCGCCAGCCGAGCAGCCCGTCACGGTGGAGTTGATTAGCGAGACCGCGCCGCTGTACAACGCGTAGACGACGCCGCCGTCCTACGGTTGCGAGGAGAGAGCAGGGTGAGGCAGCCGTGTCCCCTCTCTACCTCTCGCCCCGCTGCCGTGCGGCGCTGCAGGGCAGGCGGCTAGCTCTACGCGGCGCACCTGGCCAGCTGAGCAGTCCGTCACGTTGGAGCCGATTATCGAGACCGCACCGCTGGACTGCGCGTAAACGACGCCGCCGCCCCACTGCGGTTCCGAGGAGAGAGCGGGGTGAGGCGGCCGTGGCCCTCTCTATCTCTCGCCCCGCTGCCGTGCGGCGCTAGGCGACGCTGCTGGAGGCTGCTAGCTCTACGCGGCGCACCAAGCCAGCATGGCAGTCCCTCACGATCGAGTCGATGATCTCGACGTCGCCTGCGCCGTTCGCTTTCACAACGCCGTAGCGCGCCCACCCGTTGACGAGGGTCAGCCCCCGCAGGGTGAGGCTGCAGCCGTCCGAGAGGTAAAAAAACCCGGTCTTGCCCTGGCCGTCGAGCGTCGCGCCCTCGCCGCTGCTGGTGACGGTCACCTTGATGCTGCGGTTGCAGCTGATCTGGCTGCTCAGCTTCAGGTGCGCACCTGGCGCCAGGTAGACGTTGACAGCAGCGCCCTGGATCAGGGAGCGGAGCTCGACCTCGGTCGTCGCGGCGACAAGGCCGGGGATCAGCGGCGGCAGCGGGGCCAGCGGCGGTAGTGGCGGGGAGGGCGGCGGTGGAGGCGGTCGTGGCGGGGGCAACGGCGATGGAGGCGGTGGAGGTGGCGGCGGCGGCAGCGAAGGCGGTGGTGGCGGGGAGAGCGGCGGTGAAGGCGGCGAAGGCGGCCGTGGCGGGGAGAGCGGCGGTGAAGGCGGCGAAGGCGGCCGAATCGCCCAGCAGACCTGACAGCAGAGGGAGGAGGGGCATCAGAGACGCGTAACAGGGTGGGGCGAGGAGCCAAGGACACACCTTCCAGCCCGACCTGACACCGCTGCCACCCGATCGCCACTCGATGACGCCATCCTCCGCCACCGCGCCTTGCGGCCCCGAGGAGCCGCAGTACTTCGTGCCGTTGACGGTGAGGTAGTCGAAGAAGCAGACGCTGAGCCAGGATTCCACATCAAAGGCGACTGTCTCCAGCCCGACCGGCGGCACGCCGCTGATGGTGCACGCCTCGTTGTTGCCGTAGCTGTTCGGGTAGTTTGGCGACGCGGCGCACGAGCCGCCGTCGGTGAGGGAGCACGGGCTGCGAACGTTGACGGTGTAGGAGAAAACTTCCTTCGGGATCGGAGGCGACGGCAGCGGAGGCGGAGGTGATGGCGGAGGCGGCAGTGGGAGCGGGGAGGGAGTTGACGGCAGCACCGGCGGCGAGTCAACCGACAGCGGTGCAAGCGCTGGTGGTGGCGAGGTCTGCCGAGCTTCCGGCCGCGACAGCAGCAGTGGCAGCGCAAAGACCATAAACACTGTCTGACGGAGACACAAGGCTCTGCACGGAGAACGAGCAAGGCCAGAGTGGGCCCGGCGGCAGAGGATTGCCATGTCACGCGCCAGTTTTCTTTTTCTCCTATTTGCCGAGCAAGTGACGCGAGAATAGCTCCACCGTTCGTGGAGGCAACCGATGCGAGTCGACTGGTCTGTGTCATCGTTCGTGGTTTCGTATCAAGAATACTCACTCACTCATACATGAGCACGGAGCAGGCCGCTCCCGGCCCCACGCTGCGCCCACGGCCCGCGCGGCCGGCGAAGCCGCCCGGGAGCTCAGGCGCTACCGCTCCGCTTGCGCACTCTGCTAAAACGTACGGAAACAGCACATTCTTACTGACAATCTATCAGATCACTTGGCGACAGTGATCGTAGACTTAGCTCCTTTAGCCTCCCTCGCCGACTGCTCAGAGCCGACGTGGCCGTCGTCGTCGAGATCGAGCCCTGTCAGCTTCTCGGTCAGGTTGAGCGCGTCGCTGAGGATCCCGCCGACTCCTCCTCCGCCTGAGCCGCACGCCGCGTCGATCCTTTCGAGGATCAGGCGGTACGACACGTCGGCATGCGGGCCGCCGTGCAGCGGGGTCGCGATCGGGCGGTAGATGCCCGCCTCACGCAGCGCGGCGGGCGTCGCCGCGATGATGTCGTCGAAGGTGGCGGCGCCCGCATCGCCGTCGCGCCGCTCGTGGACCAACACGAACGGCCGGTCGCCCTCCAACGCCTCATGCACCTACTCACAGCAGCGGCGTGAGGAGACGCCGTTCGCAGCAGCGGCCAGTCTCGCCCTCCCAACCGCCTCACCTCGCGGCCGAGCGCCTCCGCCCGCTCCCCCGCCGCAAAGGTGGCGCCGTTCAGGTACAGCAGAAAGGCGCACGCCGCACGCGCCTGGGCCGGGTCGTCCGTGCTGCGCAGCTGCTGGCCACTGGCCTCGGCGATCCCAGCCGCCACCGCAGCCGCGCCGGCGTTGTCCCGCGAGAAGTAGACGTGAAGGCTCCTCTTGGTCGCGAGCGGCGGCGGCGGCGAGCGGAGGAGGTCGCCCGGGAGGAAGATGGGCTGGTCTGCGCCGGCCGCCTTCCACGCGCGAAGCAGCTCGACGATCAGCAGCTTCATCGAGCACATCTGGAAGGGGCGCAGCCGGTGCCACGTCACCAGCGGCGCCGCGAAGACATGCTCGCGCAGCTCGTCGGGGCACTCGGCACGGTGGACGTCGAGCGGCACTCCGCCGTGCGACGGGTCCGTCTCCAGCAGCAGAATCAGCGGCCTCTTCCGCTCCACCTATCCACAGCCCTCTGTTCTCGGCGCTCCGCGCTCTTCTCAGCGCGAGCGGCCTCTCTGCTGAACCGCGGCGCGCAGCTCGCGCAAGCAGTTGTGGGAACGCATGTAGTCGGAGGCGGGTGCGCCTGTTCACAGCTAGAGGTGTGAAGAGACGCTGTTCACGGGAGGGAGCGCATGTAGTCGGAGGCGGGTGCGCCGTCGGCGACGGCGGTCGAGCCCGTCAGCAGCACGATCACGGCCTCCGAGTTGCCAATGTGCTCCTCCAGCCGCGCGGTGTCGTCCAAGTTGTCGACATCAAGGAAGGGCGAGATGTTTTGCACGTACCTGCAGATTTGGGGAGATATGGGAAAAATATGGGGAGACCACAATGTTTTGCACGTACCTGGCCGCAATACGCAGCCGTCATGGCGGTGCCGTGGACGTGTCGAGAGGGGGGGGAGAGGGGGGGGGCTGGTCCAGGAAGGGTCCTGCTGGGGAGATCACCTCGCACCCAACGCGGAGGCTTGCTCGAGATATGGGGGAGATATGGGGCGATATGGGGAGATCACCGCACCCGACGCGGAGGCTCGCCAGGCACGTCCGAGCTCCGGCGCGCTCCTCGCACTCGTCCCGGCAGCTGCAGCTCTTGCCTTGCTCGCAGCCAGTGTCGCAGTCCTCGGCGGCCTTGAGCACTGCCTCGAAGCCGCGCCTGTACGACGATGCCTCGGCTGTCTCTCGGCTGCATCTCGGCTAAATACCGACTGAAACCGACGAACCTCGGCTGCATCTCGGCTCTATCTCGGCTGCATCTCACCTGAATCTCGGCTGTACCTCAGGTGTATCTCGGCGCCTCGCGGCTGCATCTCGGCTGTATGCCGACGGACACCGACTGAGACTCGGCTGCATCTCGGCTCTATCTCCGGCCAGAGCCGCGCCTCGCCCAGTTCTCGCTGCCAGAGAGCAGCCCAAACACGAGCGGCTGCAGGCCGTCCTCCTGCGCGAGATATGGGGAGATATGGGGAGATATGGGGAGATATGGGGAGATATGGGGATATCGTCCTCCTGCGCGAGCGCGGCGGCTGAAGAGTAGACGGAATGGTCGGACGCCGCCGGCGCGACCATCACAGTGCCGTCCGCCACGGCCTGCTTGCTCGCGTACGACGTCAGCCCCGAGCCATACGGGCCTAGCAGGAAGTCGGCCGACGCAAAGCCGCCCGCCTCCGAGTGGATGAGGCGTGAAGTGGCGTTGGTGACTTGCAGCTGGCTGCTGCCGTCTCCGAGGAAGACACACTTGACGCCGGCAACTTGAGTGGCGTTGATCCGGATTCCGCCGCGCCCCACCAGCATTCGTGCGAAGAGGTCGCAGTTCCGCCGCACTTGCATCGAGATGGAAGAGAACTGGTCGTCAGGTTGCAGCGACGCGGGAGCGCCGACGATGATGACGCCGGCGTCAGTCTCAGATTTGCAAAGCTGATCCACGTCCGTCTCATACGCCAGGTGCGGAGTGCCCGCTGGCAGCGCCGGCACAGGCGACGTGAGTTTTTGCCAGCAAAAGTTTGCGTCGCACCGCTGCTGTGAGAGGCCGAGATCGTTCCTCGTCACCGAGATGAACGGCACGTCCTCCTTCCGCACGCAGTCCTCCAGATCCGTTTTTGTCAGATCCGTGACTGCAGCCAGGAGGATCGAAAGCGCCATCCACGGTCGAAGCTTAGAGTCTTTGATCCGCCGTGCGATGCGAATTCAGTCCCAGCAAGCGAGTCGCCAAAGCAGGCGTTTAGGGAGGGGTGTACCTTCTGTGCAACGATTTTCGAGGTAAGAACACCCCCTAGACGCGACGCCCCCCGAACCCCAGGGACGCCCAAAACCGCCCACAGCAGCCCCACAACCCTTAAACAGTACTCGGCACAACCACTCAAAGTTGGCCTCCCCCGGAGGTGTTTCACATTAGGGGCACCCTCCGGCAGGCCGCCCTGAGCCCCCTAGGCGGGCCGCCGCTGCTCTAGCGCGCAGCGACCCGATGGGCAAGGGGCCCCTACCCACCACAGACACCCTCACGCCCTCTCCCCCGGCCCGCCGCGGCACCGAGGGCGATTCTGCGCGAGGGATCGCTTCTGCGGAGCCGCAGCGGCCGGCGGCGGCGCCGCCAGCGCGGCCCGCGCGGCCGGTGGCGCCGGTAGCGCGAGCAACGGCATCGGCGATGGCGCGGCGGTCGGCGAAGGCGCGTTGGGCAGTGCGAGAAGTGGCTGCCGCCCTCCCGACGGCGGCGGCAGTCACTTCTCGCGACGAGCGTGCCCGGCTTCTTTAGCAGCAGCGCGTCTAGTTTTTTGTGAGTGCGTTTTTCGCGCCCTTGGCGGCGCCGCCGAGCACGGCGATGGCGCCCTGGAGCTCGGGGTTACTCAGCCTTGCCTACGAGGGTGGGGACCAGGAGCGCCGAGCCAGTGGGAGGGCAGGCAGGTATGGCAAAACTGCGAGCTCCCGAGGACGTCTGGCGCCGAGTGCGTCTGGCACCGGGCACGGAAGCTCGCACTCGGCCGCACGCGATAGTGCTGCCGCGAGAACGCCAGCCATGTACGATATGTCTCGTGTACACTCCTCCTGGGTCATGGTCGGTCATATGCAGGACGGCCAGAGTCGCCCACATCGCCTACGCGGTCCCGAGTGTGGTCAGACTGATACACCGCGACTCAACGGTTGAGTGCGGCCAGCGCACACAAAAGTCGTCGACTGCGGCCTGGCGCGGTGATCATAGGTGCTGGAGACCAGGCAGTATGGGCCTGCAACCTGGCCACGCATGAACTCGGTACCTACATTCGCAGAGGCCCGGCAAGGGTGGGATCTAGTAGAGTGATTGCGCGCTGAGACCGTACTCCGTGGGTCGCTGGAATGACCTGTAGGGAAGTTCAGTGCCGCTGCTCGACTCTCCAGTGTCACAGCCGATGCCTGTGACCTGGCCACCGCCGCACGGTGCTTGAAATCGGCGCCTCCTCGGGTGTGCCCTCATAGACAGTCTTCGGCGGCGCGTAGTCGACGCGAGAGCTGCCCTACACAGACGTCTACTGTGAACCACCGACGAATAGAGCACAGGTTTTTGGCCACGAGATCCGCCTTCGAGGTCGAGCCGAGGCTGCCGGCGTCGTCTCTGCTGCTCTGGGCATCACCTGCACAAGCCAAGCAGACTTTGTTGCAAAAGCGGAGGCGGGTCGACGCGCCGTGTGTTGGGTTCCCATCTCGGCGCGCGCGAGTCCAGGCCGAACCGACTAGCTGCCGCCGCAGCGAGTGCGGCTGGGCTGCAGGCAAACCTGTAGCAGGCGCTCGGCACGCTGTCCGGAGGCGCTGTGGCTCACAGGGCGAGCGCCTGTGGCTCGCGAAAAAAGTGGAGAAGAATTTACACAAAACATAGTGCGTAATGCAAATGCATAATACATAATTCATAGGAGTTATGTGACACTCGGTCGTAACGCGCATCCATTCGCCTATGTATTATGTATCTGTGTTATGCATTCACGCGCCGCGACGCGCGAGGGTGGGAGAGGGCGACGTATTTTGCAAATACGTAAATGTACACGCCCTAGGGTTACGTTGATGATGGCGCAAAATCCCAGCAGATTGACGAGGGCGCAAAATCCCTTATACTAACTCTCCGAAAAGAAATCGCAGCACACCCGGCGGATTTCAAACGTGGTCTGTGGCCTGTTGTTCCCGGGTTGTGGAGTGGCCGAGGCCAGCTGGCCGAGGCTGAAGCCCCAAATACCGAGCGTCTCACCGTGTGACGATGTCGTGCCCCGAGTTTGAAGCGATGGGGAAGGTACGCACCACCTCCCGCCGTGCCCACGCACCTTTGATCCGATTCTTGCCCTTTGCCTCACCTCGCAGTACGCTGGCAAGTGGGTCGATGAGGGCAACGGAGATTGCGGGTACACCATGACCGAGAACTGCCTTTGCTACACGTGCATCTGCTTCACCTACAAGGGCTGCCCGTACTCCGGGTCGAATGCCTGGAGCTGCGGCACGGGGTGCATCATGGGCCCTTGCATCGGGCTGACGTACAAGGACGAGACGATGACGCTCCGCTGGCTGTGCTGCCCCGCGGACACGTACAAACGCGCCAGTCCCAGCTACGGCGGTCCCCCGCCTGCCGGCGAGATGGCTCGGTGACTCTGCGGGCCACGTCGAGACGTGCAGTACAGTCGAGCGGTACAGCAGCCGCGACACCGTAGTACGCTCGGCGGTGTAGAGAGGCGCCTCTGGTAAGAGGGGGTGGTACGGCTTTACGGACACCACTGTAACGGCCGTTCCGGGCGTTTGAACGCGACCTTCGGGGGCAAAGGCATGGGCTCTATGGCTCAGACTGGACTCCTCTTGGTCCCTTCTGATGCCCTAGGCCACACCTGGGCCTTACCTGGGGCTCTAGGGGCCGGGCAGGGTTTGCCCTCCGAAACTGGCATGGGGAACCTTAATGGCTTCATTCGACATTGTGCTTACCTGAGCACGCAACCTCCGCATCCCAATCTGCCTGCCCCGCCATCCTCGCCCTCCCTCCCTCCCTCCCTGCTGCCTAGCCCCCCGACCGAGAGCGAGACCCCCCCCCCCCCCTCCATCCAAACAAACCCCTTCCTTCTCCCTTCTCATTCTTTCTCCAGCTAACCCTCTCGACCACGCCCCCTAAAGCAACTCGCTCCATAAGTAAGTGTAAGTCCTCAAACCTTCCCCCACACACACGCCTCGCAACTCTACATCGTGAGTTGCCACAGACTGCTCGTCCTGGACCTAGTTTTCCACCGCGCGCGCGCGCGCCGCGCGGCTTGAAGCCGGCGCATGAGAGTGGACGCCGGAATCCCGCTCCTCGCAACAAGCGCGTTCTTGGCGTTGATGCAGGCCGCATCAGCTTGCATCGCCTCGTACTCGCGCAGCAGCGCCTCGTTGGCCGTCACGGGTGCCGCTGCAAGCTGGTGCAAGCCGTGGTCCGCGTCAACGACCGTGGCAGTCGCCGCCGCCTCACCGTCGGGGCTCTCGGCCTCGCCGCTCGCCACACCCAGGACCCCCTCCGACCCCTCCACTGCTGGAGCCACCGCCGGTGCCGGTGCCGGTGCCGGTGCCGGTGCCGGTGCCGCCACCGCCGTCTCCGTGTCCATGTCCGCGCCCACGTCAACAGTCGCCATCGGTGCACGGCGACCAACCTCAACCTCAACCTCAACCTCCACCTCAACCGCACTGGGACCGGGACCGGGACTCTTGCCTGCCTCGCTGATCGCCGCTGCAAGCTGATGCAAGCCGTTAGCGCTGTCCGCCTCAACGGCCATGGCAGTCGCCGCCGCCTCAACACCGTCGGGGCTCGCCAAACCGGAACCCTCGGCGCTGGAAGTTGCGGGGTCGGTGGATGTGACAGCATGCCGCGCTCCCTCGTCCGGCTCGATGCCGAGGTACTCGCAGCGACGCACACGCCGTGCACGCAACCTCGCCTCACGCTCCGCTCCACTCTCCGTTGCCATCGGAGCCCTTTCGAGTGCGGCCGTTGTTGCTGTCCGCTTGCGCGCCGCGTTGCACTCGGCGCGTGCTGCGTCGCGCTCGTCGAGCTCGTTGCAGCGCTCGAGCAAATACCCCACGGCATCGCCCTCCGACATTTGCGGATACGTCTCGAAGTGCGTCTGCCTCAGCAGCGTCGCCTCGTCCGCGTCCTGCAACATGGCCTGTCCAGCGTCGAAGACGTTCTGCCGGTGAACGACCACGGCGCGGTGCCCGAGCTTGTTCATAAGCCAGCCCACGCCTCTCCGCCGTCGCGATCGCCCTCGCCGCAGCCGCCTTGCGCAGCTCCGCGCGCGCCGCCTTGAAAGCCGCCGCCGGCGGGCGCCGTCGTGACCGCAGCGTGGCAGTCGCGCGCTCGATGCGACCCGCAGCCGCCGCCAACGCCGCCGCGTTCGCCACGTACTCCTCGTCCTCGAGCACCATTGTCCGCCACGCATCGCTGTCTTTCGGCACGTCCGACGGCCGCTGAACCTCGAAGATCGCCGGCACGCGAGTCTCCGCCAGCGAGTCCCCCGGCTCGATGTCCTCCGGCGGGCGGTCCATCTCGGCCGCGCCAACCTCCAAGCTGCCGTTGTCCGCGTCGTACGTCGACTGCACAGTGCTGCCCGTGGCCTTGTTGTGCTGCGCCTGCCGCGTGCCGAGGTAGATGCCGAAGCTCTTCACCACCATCGCGATGCTATACCGACGGAGCGACCACAGTCCAAACGCATTCGGCTTGTAGCCTAGCCTCAGGCCGGCGCGCTGCACAGCATCGAATACACGTGCTGCGCGAGCAGCGCCTCCTTCAGCCGCACGCGCCCGCCGCTCCCAACCTCCGGCAGCGATGGGTCGTCGAGCACACCGGCGTTGTACCGCCACGCGTCCTTCTCGCACGCGTCGTGCATCTCCTTCCAGCTCTTGTACACCGTATCGCGCAGCCGCACGTAGCCGTGCGACTCGAGCCTCGCCTCGAGCGCCGCCAGCTGCCTCTCCGTCAGCCCCGCGCGGCACGCCCGGTACCGACCGAATCGCATCTGCATTGCCTTGAGCACCGTGGTCGTGCGCCGCACTGGCGACACCGCGTTGGCCGTCACCGCCGAGCGGAAGAGGTAGACCGAGAAGTACTCCTTCTTCACTCGTCGCCAGTTGAGCTGCATCTGTGACGTCGCCTCGCCAGCGCACACGCCCGTGGCCTTTGTCAACACGAGCTTGCGCACCTTGTGCACCTGAGAGCGCGACGGCACGCGTCGTTAGAGCGGCTCACAAACACCACGCATCCCGTCGCTGCGTCGCGCGCTCACCACATCACGCACGCGCAGCGGGTTCTCCTTCTTCCATCGCACGGTGCGCTCATCGTGCCGCGTCTTCGCCATCATGCCGATGCGTGCCGCCGAGCTCTGCATGATGGCCAACGCCGAATGCGTAATGAGGTCCTCGTGCACGCTCTCGATGCTCTCCTGCTCGCCGATGAAGAGGTCCTGCAGCTGGAAGATTTCCGTGCGGTACACGTGCTGCCGCTTGTACACCTCCTCGGTCTGCGCCACAAGCTGCTCTGCGCGCTCCTCGTCCTCCATGGTCGCAGCTGGCGCGGACGCGGACGCGTACATGGCTTTGTACGCCCGGAAGATCGTCGACCAGTACTCACGCCGCGCTGCCACGCTCAGCTCGCCGAACGCGGGGTACTTTGTCTGCCAAAGGTTGTTGGCCATCTCAGCGACGTAGTTGCGAACCGCATTTTTCTGCACGCCCTTGCGCCGCACCCCGCGCTGCGCGAGACACATGCGCTGCCGCTCGCGACATCTTCGACATGTACTTGACCACCTGCACCTCGCTCGGATACCCGTCAATCACCTCGCCGCCCAGCTCGACGAACCTATCCCACGACCGCTCAGCCGTCTCGAGGTGCTCAAGCGTCGCCTGCACGAGGCCATTGCCTTGCTGCATCGCTCGCGCTACCTCCTCCTCGACAGCCTTATCCTCGCTCGAAGCTTCCGCTACCTTTGCACGGGCAATCTGCACGGCTTGCCCTTAGGTGCAATACATGGTGCTACATGCCACTCTGTCGCAAACGCCCCGCACGGTTGGCGAGAGGCCGGCAAGCAGAGCGAGAGCGGTCCGCATCGTAGAGAGCGGTCAGGGGAGTGCCGAGGGCGATGTGGGGATCCCCGACGGCGACGCCGAGAGATGCCGACGACGTCCATCCAAGCTCACCCAGTGAGATGCTCCAAGTAAAGCATTGTGGACGGATTTGCTGTGGCGCATCACTACTTTATCTGGGCTTCACTTCCTAGCATCCGTGAGGATACATTGGAGCGTACTAGGGTCCGTCTGGAGTCGTCGCGTGCCTCCACAAGGAAGAGCTACGCAGTACCTGACATCCCCTTGCTGGGGTCCTGCCACTAAAGGCGGTGGGTTGGGACTCGATCAGCTTGGACGACCACGGGCACGGAGGCAAGCCTCAACGCCCCGTGGCCTGGCCGCGTCGCCGAAAGGGATCGCACCACAGACCAGAGAGAGGGAGGAGCTAACCATGCGGAGAGCCCTCAGAACGACCCCCCTCATTCCAGGAGAGGGTGGGTGGGGAAAGCGAAGAACCGGCGCAGCCAGAGTGCTGGCGCGGTCGCAGAGCCTGGCGCGGCCACAGAGCTGGCACGGCGCCGGGCCAGGAAGAGCAGCGAGAGAGCTGCAGGAGCAGCACGCAAAGAGCGCGGCCACGAGGCACGCGGAACGTGCTTGGACGTACGTCGCGTCCTGAGTGTTCACGGAGAAAAATCCGTGAAGACTGGCAGGAGGGATGAAGACCCTTCATATGAGAAGACGCTCCTCAGTGAGTACCTGCGATAAAGTAGTAGCCTCACACGAGTTGGGGCCCCTACCCCAATCGTTGACGGCGAATAGTTCGACCGCACGCTCCTCTGCTACTATCGCGCCTCCTCTGCCTGCTCCCACGACATCGCCAGCATGCTGACAGTAGAAGCTCCGCAGCACGCCGGCACGGCGCGGACGGCAGCCTGCCTCTCCACGCCTGCCCTGCTCGCCTTCGCCCTCTGCGCCGCCGGAGCCGGTGCCGTCGCCTGGCATCTCGTCGCCGCCGCGCCCGCCGCCGCCCGCCCTGGCATCCCGCTCTGCTCCAACTCGTGCTCCAAGCTTTTGGCGCACCTGAGCGCCATCGGAGTCACCGACTATACGGGCGAGGGAAGCACGCCGCCGCCCGCCCGGCTCCTCGACTCCCCACGGAGCTCCTCGCGCGCGCCCTTTCTCGCTGCGACCCCCTCGACATCGCTCGCGCCGCGGCCGTCTCGCTGCTGTTCTACGCCTCGCTCGCAGCGGAGGGCATCCGCTTGTGGGCGCAAGAGCGCGGCTTGGAGCTGCCGGCGCAGCCAGAGGGCGAGAGCTGCGCCGTGCGGTGGCTGTGCTTCGCTGCGCTGCTGCGCGAGGCCAACCCGCCGGCGAGGCTGGCGGCAGGCCACTTCCACAGCTTCTTCATCGACGGCGAGGGGCGGCTGTCCTCGTGCGGCAAGGAGTCGGGTCTGACGCCAGGGTTACTCGGCCACGGGGAGGGCGTGACGCGGCTCAACACGCCGACCCGCCTCCCGTCGGCGCTGGGTGGCGAGCGTGCCGTGAGTGTGTCGGCTATTGTGCAAAGCCTCGCCCTCACCACTGACCGGAGCCGTCTGGAGCTGGGGCAATGGAAGGCTAGGCCAGTTGGGCCACGGCGACGAGCAGTCCCAGTGGCAGCCCAAGAAGGTCGAGGCCTTCGCTGGCCAGCACGTCGTCGCTGTGTCAGCTGGAGCATTCCACAGCCTCGCCATCACCGCAGACGACGCTGTTTGGAGCTGGGGCAACGGAGGCTGCGGCCAGATGGGCCACGGCGACGCGCAGGACCAGCTGCTGCCGAAGAAGATCGAGGCCTTCGCTGGGCAGCGCGTCGTCGCTGTATCGGCTGGAAGCGGCCACAGCATCGCTGTCACCGCTGACGGCGCTGTCTGGAGCTGGGGCGATGGATATGCTGGCAAGCTGGGCCACGGCGACCAGCAGAGCCAGCTGCTGCCGAAGAAGGTCGAGGCCTTGGCTGAGAAGCGCGTCGTCGCTGTGTCGGCTGGATTTGCGCACAGCCTCGCCATCACCACCGACGGCGCCGTCTGGGGTCGCAACTTTGAGTTTTGGCTCGAGGTGCTGCAAACGCCCGACATCGCGCTCAACGGCGGCCCTCTTTGGTACGCCTCACCCTCTCCCGCCCTGCTCTCCGCATCCGACCGGACCCTCACCCTCCCCACGCCCCAGGAGGAGCGTGCGGGCTACATGGAGGACACCTCGTGCGACGAGTCCGAGGACGAGGACGAGGACGAGGACGGCGAGGCGCCCGCACCCGCACCCGCACCCGCACCCGCACCTGCACCCGCGCAGCGTGCAGGGAAGCGTAAGGCTGCACCGCCTCGAGCACCGCCGACGCGCCCGCCAGACAGCAGTGATGACGATGGCCCATCATTGCATGCGCCAGCACCGGCGCGGGCAGGGCGGGGGGCCAAGCCGGCAGCCAAGGGGTCCGCACGGCGCAAGCCGCCAGCAGCCAAGCCAGCAGCCAAGCCAGTCATGTCGAAGCGTCAGCGACGGAAGTGACCTGTACACACTGCATGAGTATGATGTATGAATCGTGTGTGTGTGTGTGTGTGTGTGTGTGTGTGTGTGTGTGTGTGTGTGTGTGTGTGTGTGTGTGTGTGTGTGTGTGTGTACTATTGTACGAGATTTGTACATTGCGCTCTTGTTTGGGGGCTCTTGGGCAGCAGCTCACAGCTTTTTGGGTTCTCGGGGTCCGTTGGCCTCTTTCGTAGGGAAGAATTTTGATACCCGTCAAGACGCCTGCTGGGGGCAGCTTTGCGATGAAGCCGTTTGTTCCCCCCAGCAAGGCACACACAAGACAGATAGGAGGCGAAAGGGGATGGTGGTGGGTTCGACGAGGAGAGAGGGAGCGCGCACAGACTGACGTCAGCTCTGCTCCTGAAGTACACCTCTGAAAGGCACCTTCAGAGGTGTAGTGCACCTCTGAGGCACCTCAGAGGAAACGCTGCACTTCTTTTATCGATCTCGTCGCCAGACTCCGATTTCTCTTTGTCGGGCCATGTGCCGCTCGCTCGTCCGCCCAAGTGACTCGGACGCGCGGTCGAGGGCACCCCACCGTTCCTGGGGCGCGCTGGCGCTCGCCCGCAATCGTCCCCCACCCATCCACCCTTTTGTCTTTGAGGCTGTCGCTCCGAGAAAACTTGTCTCGCAGCTGCGAGAAATTACCTTCTCGGGTCCGTTGGCCTCTTTCGTAGGGAAGAATTTTGATACCCGTCAAGACGCCTGCTGGGGGCAGCTTTGCGATGAAGCCGTTTGTTCCCCACTTGTCAACAGCAGGCGCTGGCGCCAATAACGTATCGGCGTTCTCCCACGTGATGTTGACCGGGTGGGCGGGTGGTCATGGAAGGTATTTTAAGGACAGTCACCCAGTCCGATGGAAGGTATTTTAAGGACAGTCACCCAGTCCGATGGAAGGTATTTTAACGTCAGTCACCCAGACGAATGGAAGGTATTTTAACGTCAGTCACCCAGACGAATGGAAGGTATTTTAACGTCAGTCACCCAGACGAATGGAAGGTATTTTAACGTCAGTCACCCAGACGAATGGAAGGTATTTTAACGTCAGTCACCCAGACGAATGGAAGGTATTTTAACGTCAGTCACCCAGACGAATGGAAGGTATTTTAACGTCAGTCACCCAGACGAATGGAAGGTATTTTAAGGACGTCACCCAGTCCGCAACGAGAGCAACCAAAGGAGGCAATGGATTGCGTTCCCGGGCCCTGCGTGGTATTTTAACGCCGTCACCCAGGCGAGCATGGGCATGTAGTTCATGATGGTATTTTAACGCCGTCACCCAGGCGAGCATGGACAGGTAGCTCACGATGGTATTTTAACGCCGTCACCCAGGCGAGCATGGACAGGTGGCTCACCCCAGGCGAACCGTTGAGTTCGAACCGGCGGCCACGTGATCGCACCAAGTTGATTGAGCGAACTTGTCGCTCTCTGATGCGATTACGTGCCCAGCCCTGTTGGATCGGCGTAGTCGGTCGTCGAGGGCGGGCTGAAGTCCGTCCGATGACCGGCGGCACTGCCGAAGACGTAGACGCTTCGGACCATTCCGGGTTCGAGGGGGACCCCATCATCGGGCGGCGTCCTGGGCCGGGAGATACGCGACTGATCTGAGCTGTTGGAGGCAGGGTACCACCGGCGCGTCCCTGGCAGCTGGAAGTCCGAGCCCGTGGGTGACGGCGGCTCGTGCCCGGCGGCGAGGGCGGCGTCGTGTGCACTGAGAGCGTCGGCTGTGAGTCGACTTGCGAGAGCGTACGGCGCCTGGCCCCATGCCCTCCGGCTGGCTGTTGCCGACAGCAGTTAACACCTCCGCAGTTGCGTCGGTCGCGCCACAGGTAGAGACGTTGAGCTCGACAAAGTCTTGGTAGTTGTTTCGGGCCATCAGTCCGACAGGAGAGGGCCAGCGGTCGCCTCCTCGAGCTGCCCATGCCTTCGCCGGTTTGGAGTATCGTCGCCGCCACCACCATGTGCGCCCAGGAAAAGGAGGGCTCCCCACTGAGGACGGTCTGCGGGGGGAGCCGAGTCGCACGGAACGACCTCCTGATGGGATCGCCCCTCCTCGCTGAGGGCGATCTGCGGGAGGAAGGGCCCCACCTCTCCCCACTGAGGACGGTCTGCGGGGGAAGAGGTCCTGGATCGAACAAACCTTGCCTCCGCTCAGGACGGCTGACAAGGACGGCGACCACCGCATGGAGGTGTCCATTGATCCACTCGGGGGCTGGTCCCAAGGGTCACAGCTCAGGCCGAGCGGCCGCCGGTGCGACGACGAGGTCCTCCCGCCACGGGCTCCGGCGGGGCCCTCGCCGCTCCCCACTGAGGACGGTCTGCGGGGGGAGAGGCCGGCGAGGCGCTCGAGGTGGATGCCGTACAGGTTGCCCGGGTTTGGCGCGGAGCCAGGCCGCGATGGCGTGCCCGAGCTGGATGCCGTACAGGTTGCCCGGGTTTGGCGCGGAGCCGGCCGTGGTGGCGCGCCCGAGCGTCTGTTGAGAACAGGCGATGTAAGTTAGCAGCAAGTGGCTGAGTTTAGTTAGGTTGAATTTCGTGCGGGCAGGGCTGGGCAAGCGCTGTACTAGTCCGTCGGCGTCGACGGCGCCGCCGCGCCGGCTCGCTGTGCGTCGGAACGCATCCTCATCCACGTGCACCGTGCTGAAAACGCCGAGGTCGGACAAGGCACCGAGGATGCGGCGCCAAGCCGCGGCCAATACGGCCAGCCGCAAGACGCTGAGCCTGTCAAAGTGGGTGGCCACAGCGGGCTCGGGCTCACTGAAGGGGAGCAGCGCACTGATGGCGACCCACTGCGGAATCTGGACCCACGACGGTTGCATCCCCGGAGGAGGAGGGGGCAGATTGAGGAAGGCCGGATTGCCCACCACAGACCACGGAATGAAGCGCAGGGTAGAGCCTACCACTGTTGAGTCGACGGGTATCACCAGTGGCTTTGCGGGATCGGGGTGCTGCTCGGCCGGAATGCTGAGCTCGGCGGCAGTGAGGTCTGGCATCGCAGCGCCGGTCGTCTCGTCGAGGGCTACCTCTCGACTCTACTCCCGTGTCACAACAACGAGGCACGAGAGCGTGCACGACAGAGCGACGGCGCAGCGTACCGCCGTCCAGCTAAAAAGCGGCGGCCGACGGTTGCTGCGCAAAGTGATCAGTTCTAAAATAGGTGCCGGGGCCCAACGGATAGATGAATCCGGGGCACCCTCCGCTCGAATCCCTGGCCGGGGGTTCGAGGTGGCCCCCACCCTGGGGCCTCCCATCAAAGGGACTGCGGCAGAAGACGCCCAATCTTGCACAAGTGCAAGAACCATACCTTTGAGGCGTGGAAGGACTAAATTCTTGCAGGGTTTCTTCATTTGCTGGCTGGCTAAGGTACCTATTTTTCTTCATTTGCTGGCCTCAGGTGTGAAGGCACAGTCGAGTTCAGCCCGCGCCTGCACGGCCCCCAGCGGTGAACGTGCGTATGAAAGCTGTGCTGCTCATCGGAAACTTCTCGGGCAGCCTCCGGCCGCTGACGCTGTCGCAGCCGCTTCCGCTCCTCCGCTTTTGCAACCGCTCGCTCATCTTTCACCAGCTCCAGGCGCTGAAGGATGCCGGCATCTCGCAAGTCGTCATCTGCCACCCGAACAAGGAGGCGCGTCCCGCACAGCGCCGCCGGTGCCCGGCGGGCGGCGTCCACCCTCCCCCTCGCCGGTCACGGCGCCGCGCGGTCGGCGCAGGTGCCGGCCGACTGGACAGCGGCCATCGAGCAGCTGAGCGGCGAGCTGGGGCTCAAGCTCGTCTGCTCGCAAGAGACCGAACCGGCGGGCACCGCCGGCGCGCTCAAGCACGCGGAGGCGAGTTCGTCGCCGCCCGGCGGCACCAGCCGGCGAGGCGCCCAGTGCCAATCTACTCTTCTCGCGGTTCGTACTCCTGTAGGCGCTCGTCACCGACGACGGCACCAACGACGCGCCCTTCATCGTCGTGAACGCCGACGTGCTCTGCTCGTACCCGCTGCGCGACCTCCTGCTCGCCCACCTCAAGCGCGGCCGCGAGGGCCACGAGGGCGACCCTTCTCGGAGCCTTCTCGGAGCCTTCTCGGAGCCTTCTAGGCACGGCCGCGAGGGGACGCTGCTGACGACCCGCTCAGAGGAGCCGTCCGAGTACGGCGTGGTGGTGGTGGACGAGAGGACGGGAGGCGTCACACCCACTTCGTGGACCGTACTGGCGCAAGACCTTTCCTAGACCTTTCCTGGAACCTTCCTGCAGGCATCACCCACTTTGTGGACCGGCCAGAGACGTTTGTGTCCGACCGCATCAACTGCGGCGCACTTGCTAGACACTTCCGACACCTCCTAGACACCTCCTTTGTGTCAGACCGCATCGACTGCGGCGCCTGCGCCTTCTCGCCCGCCATGTTCGAGGAGAGGGGGGGAGTGCAGCTACTATGCGTCTATCTCTTCTCGCATATCTCGCCATATCTCCCCATATCTCCCCATATCTCCCCCACATCTAGGCGTCTATGTCTTCTCGCCCGCCATCTTCGAGCGCATCCGCGCGAGCTCGCGCGTCTCGATGAACGAGCTGCTGCCCGCGATGGCCAAGGTGGAGGAAGCGCACACGCACGCGCGCGCATGCACGCACGCACGCACGCACGCACGCACATCACCGCTCACCCACGCGCACCGGGCCTTGCACTTTGAACGCCATGGGGCTCCTGTCGTCTAGACGTGGAGTCGCGAGGGGTCGCCCGGCCCCTTGCCCCGCCACCTTGGTGTATGTGGAGAGGCTGACTCTGCCTCACCTTGCCTCACCCTGCCTCAACCTTGCCTTAGGCGGGGTAATCTCCCCATATCCCCCCATATCTCCCCCATATCTCCCCCATACCTTCCCCATATCTCCCCTCACTTTGCCCCCCGCCTTAGGCCGAGCAGCTCAACTCGATGCTGCTCTCGGGGTACTGGGCCAAGCTCACCTCGACCCTTCTAGGAGCCTTCTCGGAACCTTCTGGGAGCCTTCTAGGTACTGGGTCAAGCTCACCTCGACCCGCTCGTACATGGGCGCCGTCGCGTCGCACCTGGAGATCGCGCGCTACCTGGCGCCCGCCGCCCGGCCAGACACCTCCTCCCACCACGCCCCACACACCTCCTCGACCCGTCCCACGCTTGCCAGACGCTTGCTAGACCCCGCCCCACACACCTCCTCGACCCGTCCCACGCTTGCCAGACGCTTGCTAGACCCCGCCGCGCGCCGCCAGACGCCCGCCCTCGCGAGTCGACGGCGGACGTCACTGTCACCCCATCTCTCCCCCATATCTCCCCAGATCTCCCCCATATCTCCCCCATATCTCCCCATATCTCCCCCATATCTCCCCCAGATCTCCCCAGATCTCCCCCATATCTCCCCATATCTCCCCCATATCTCCCCAGGCGCCCGCCTCGCTCGCCGAGTCGACGCCGGACTTCACTGTCACCGGGAACGTGATCCTAGAAGCGGAGTACGTGTTCCTGTATCCCAACTCGCCCTCGAGAGCGCAACGTCTTCCACTGCATTCGATCGCCTTCGGCCGCATTCACCTGCACTCACCGCCTCCGCCTCTCTCGTCTTCACGCGGTGCTCTGAAGACGCTGCACAGTCCCGTCTCCCCGCCCCCGAGGCTGACGCATTCGGCACGTAGGCTGCCCATATCTCCCCATATCTCCCCATATCTCCCCATATCTCCCGCCCCGAGGCTGGCGTGTTCAGCACGTAGGAACGTGATGGTCCATCCGTCCGCAACCATCGGCAAGGTAACCCTAACCCTACCCCTACCCCTACCCCTAACCCTCCCTACCCCTAACCCTCCCTACCCCTACCCCTAACCCTAACCCTAACCCTAACCCTAACCCGAACCCTAACCCTAACCCTAACCGCAACCATCGGCAAGGGGTGCGTCGTCGGGCCGGCGGTCGTGATTGGCCCAAACTGCCGCGTGGCCGAGGGGGTGAGGCTCGCGCCCTGTAGATGTGCGGCCACCTCCTCACTCCTCCGCGTACTCGCCCGTCCTCGCATCGCGCCGTGCGCCGTTCCATATCCCCCACATCTCCCCCACATCCCCCCACATCTCCCCCATATCTCCCCATATCTCCCCGTACTCGCACCGTGCGCCGTCCCACGCCGTGCGGGTTCACGCGACCCGCCAAGAGCCATCCCCTACCCCACGCGCCGTTCTCCCTCCTTCTAGATGTCGAGTCGCGAGGGTCGCCCGGCCCCGCGCCCCACCACCCTTGTGTGTGTGGAGAAGTGTACCTGACCTTCCCTTCCCGTAGGCTCGAGTCGTGCACGCTGCTCGAGGGCGCCGCCGTCGCATCGCACGCCATCATCCGCGAGTCTGTCCTCGGCCTCGGCTCCTCCATCGGCCGCTGGTGTTTCGTCAACGGGTCAGTCCTCGGCGAGGCTGTCGAGGTGAGACACACGCACACGCACCCACGCGCACACGCACGCACGCACGCACACGCACACGCACACGCACACGCACACGCACACGCACACGCACACGCACACGCACACGCACACGCACACACACGCCGCCCTCTCCCGGCAGCTCTCCCCCCCCCTTGTGTGCCCGGAGACGTTTCCCGGACCCTTCCTCCCCTCGAGGTGTGCGAGGCGCTGCTGCTCAATGGCGCGACGGTGCTGCCGCAGAAGCAGCTGGAGCGGAATATCCGCAGCCCCGAGATTGTCATCTGAGGGCCCCGAGATTGTCATCTGAGGGCCCCGAGATTGTCATCTGAGGGCCCCGAGATTGTCATCTGAGGGTGGCGCGGCGGCTGCGTGCTCGTGAGGGCGGCTTGGGCGGTCCGCGCCGTGCGTGAGTAGTTTTGAGAACGCACAGTCACACGCACCACGTCTCGTACAACGTGCGAGAGTTGCGGAGAGTTGCGTGTGCTCCCAATAGGAATTGGGAGCGGCAGTTGTGCCAACTGACAACTCTCGCGCAGTCGCACGGTGCGATTTGTGATGAGCCTAGAGATCCCCCCGGCCGGGTCAATCTCCAAACTCCAAACTGGAAAAATGGTTTCAAAAAGAATTCTTAAGATACAAGTCTCTCTCACAGCACACTGGCACGACAAGGGCGCAGACTGGCGCGGACTGGCACACACACAGGCTCACCAAAAAGAATTCTATGCGGCACGCCTTCGGCCGATGGCCTCCCACCGCATCGGCGCCCGCGTCGCGGGCCTCTCGCCCGCGCAGCTGTGCGCCATCATCGAGGCGCAGGCGGGCGCGAGCGACGCCGCGCTGCGCGTGGCGGAGGAGCACGCCGCACGGCTCGTGGAGCAGCCCGAGTGGGTGCTCTCCGAGGTCCTCCTCTCGCCGGACCTCGCCCCGCACATCCTCGCCCAGCTGCCGACCAAGGCGCACGCCGTCAAGGGGACGTGCCGCGCGTGGCGCCGCGGCTGGAAGGAGACGCTGAAGAAGCGCGAGAGGCCGCGCATGCTCGTGATCGGCGGCTACGGCGACGGGGGCAGTAACATCAACTCGCTGGAGCGGTACGACCCGTCAACGAACGCGTGGGAGGAGGAGGCTGTGGCGCCGATGCCGACGGCACGAAAGTATGTCCGCACGGCGGTGCTCGATGGCAAGTTCTACGCGGCGGGCGGCGAGAGTGAGGCTGACTACGCAGCTTCCAACCTTTTGGAGCGGTACGACTTGGCTACGAATGTGTGGGAGGAGGTGGCGCCGATGGCGACGCCACACGAGAATCACGCCGTGGCGGTGCTCGACGGCAAGCTGTACGCTGTGGGAGGCTTCAACGCCGGCTACCTCAGCTCGGTGGAGCGGTACGATCCCGCGACGAACACGTGGGAGGCGGCTGCGCCGATGGCGGAGGCTCGGCAGGCTCACGCCATGGCGGTGCTCGACGGCAAGCTGTACGCTGTGGGAGGCTCCACCAACGATGTCCTCAGCTCGGTGGAGCGGTACGACCCGGCGACAAACGCGTGGGAGGCGGTGGCGCCGATGACGACAGCGCGGGACTCCCACGGCATGGCGGTGCTCGACGGCAAGCTGTACGCTGTGGGCGGCTTCTGTGATGACGGCGGCCATCTCAGCTCGGTGGAGCGGTACGACCCCGCTACGAACGCGTGGGAGGCGGTGGCGCCGATGGCAGAGCCGCGGGAGACTCATGCCGTGGCGGTGCTCGACGGCAAGCTGTATGCTGTGGGCGGGTACGGCGGTGGCCGCCTCAGCTCGGTGGAGCGGTACGATCCCGCGACGAATGCGTGGGAGGCGGCTGCGCCGTTGACGACGGCACGATCTTTTCATGGCATCACCGTGGCGTAGGGTTGTCTGGAGGGTGGAGAGGCAATTTGAAGCTGTGTCTCGCTGCAGCTCGCGGCGGCGGATGAGGTCGCCACGGCGCCGGAGGACGCTGCCGTCGCCTAGACTCCCTTGCGTGTGCCTCCCCGTGTTTCTAGCCTGGCGTCGGGGCAAGACCCTTCTGTGCCCCGTCGTGCCCCGTCCTGTGCCCCAGAGTTCATTTTTATCTTGGTGAAGCTGTGCCGGTGCGCCAGCGCGGCTGGATTTCCTTTTTTGGGACCGAAGAGAAGAAAAGGCTGCCGGCTCGGACTGTTAGGTGTTAGAGAGAAGAAAGTGAAACTTAAAAATTGGAGAAAAGAGTGCGGGAAGAAAGAAATGAATTTTACTCCCTCGCACGACACTGGGCACGGGACTGGCGCGCACTGGCACAATCAATGGAACACCCAGAGGTAGGTAGGTACCCAGAGTCGTGCAAAGAAAAAGAAATCGCGGACTGCTCTCCGCCTCCGCCTTCGGCCGATGGCCTCCCACCGCATCGGCGCCCGCGTCGCGGGCCTCTCGCCCGCGCAGCTGTGCGCCATCATCGAGGCGCAGGCGGGCGCGAGCGACGCCGCGCTGCGCGTGGCGGAGGAGCACGCCGCACGGCTCGTGGAGCAGCCCGAGTGGGTGCTCTCCGAGGTCCTCCTCTCGCCGGACCTCGCCCCGCACATCCTCGCCCAGCTGCCGACCAAGGCGCACGCCGTCAAGGGGACGTGCCGCGTGTGGCGCCGCGGCTGGAAGGAGACGCTGGCGAGGCGCGAGAGGCCGCGCCTGCTCGTGATCGGCGGCGAAGCCCACGATGGCGAGTTCCTCAGCTCGGTGGAGCGGTACGACCCCTCAACGAACGCGTGGGAGGAGGAGGCGATGGCGCCGATGCTGACGGCACGAAGCTATGTCGGCATGGCGGTGCTCGATGGCAAGTTCTACGCGGCGGGCGGCGAGATTGTGGCTGACGGCGCAACTTCCAATGGTGGAGCGGTACGACTTTGAAACGAAATCGTGGGAGGCGATGGCGCCGATGGCGACAGCGCGGGACTACCACGCCGTGGCGGTGCTCGACGGCAAGCTTTATGCGTTGGGCGGCTTCAACAATGAGTTCCTCAGCTCGGCGGAGCGATACGATCCTGTGACGAATGCGTGGGAGGCGGTGGTGCCGATGGCGACGGCGCGGATTAATCACGCCACGGCGGTGCTGGACGGCAAGCTGTACGCCGTGGGAGGCTACAACGACGACGACGGCTACCTCAGCTCGGTGGAGCGGTACGATCCGGCGACGAACGCGTGGGAGGAGGTGGCGCCGATGGCGGTGGCCCGGTATTTTCACGCCGTGGCGGTGCTCGACGGCAAGCTGTATGCTGTGGGCGGGTACGACGGCGGCCCCCTTAGCTCTTTCGAGCGGTACGACCCGGGGACGGATGCGTGGGAGCCTGTGGTGCCGCTGACGCTGGCTCGCTTCGGGGCCGGGGTGGCGGTGCTGGAAGGCAAGCTGTACGCCATGGGCGGCAGGGTCGAGGAGGACGACGAGGCTGAGGTCGAAAGGCCGGCTCACTCGGTGGAGCGGTTCGTCTTCGACCCGGCCTCGAACGCCTGGGAGGAGGTGGCGCAGATGGCGACGGCGCGGGCCTTTCCTTTCGCGCTCCTGATGTAGAGCGAGGGGCACACAGCTGTGAAGGGCCGCTTTTATGGACTCGGAGCATGCAGGTGTATATTCTTTTTGCTTGGCCGGACCTCATGATGATTCTGGAAAAACCTGAAAAACCTAAAACATCGTTCAAAAGCCAGCAGGGTAAAAGTCATATTGCCGCAGAGAGTTCAGAGAGACGACGATATGAGCTGCAGCGCATCTACACGTGGGTGCGGGGCGCGGGGGTGAGGTGGGCCGCTCAGGTGGGGGCGCGCTCTCGGTCTCGCGCCCCACAAGCGCAACATAGCTCGCGATTTTGAAAATCGGATTATCGCCCCATTTTGCCGACGGCGCTCACGCGGGCGGAGATAGTGCCCGCGGATCGTGGAGGTCCACAACTACCCGAGTGCCCCAACTCGTACGGTCGCGCAGAAAATGTACAACTGGCAGACGCTGAACGCGCGGGTCAACAAGAACGAAGAAGCCGAATCGCTGCCGCAATACTTGTACTTGCTTCTTTTGCCCGAGTCACAAGAGGTGCGCGCCCAGGGCGCCGCCGAGCTGTCGCCACAGCTCCATCGCCGCCCTCAGCCACGCCCGCTCCTCCTGCTGCGCGCTCAGCGCGAGCAGAGCCGCCCAGCTGCCGCCCGCGCGCGGCGCGCAGTTGCGGAGGTCACACCAGTCGGTCGGGCCTGCAGGTAGGGCGGGGGTACGGGCCTGCAGGTAGGGCGGGGGTATGAAAAGGCGAGGTGGTCAATGTCTCCACACGCACACGACGGTGGTGGGGCAAGGGCCAGGCGACCCTCGCGACTCCACGTCTAAAAGACAGGAGCAGCCCCGCACGGCATTGAAAGTGCAAGGCCCGGTGCGCGTGGGTGCAAGAGCCGGGGAGCCCCAAGCGGGAGCCCTCTCTAAGGGGCGGTGGGGCGGCTCGCGAGGCAGCGCGCCGAGGAGCGTCCACGGAGGCGGCGCGGCGTGCGCATACGCGACGGCGCAAGCCAAGTACTCCTCGCCGGCGCGCTCGACGACGCGCCGCAGCTCCGCCGCCTGAGATATGGCGAGATCTGGGGACATATGGCGAGATATGGCGAGATATGGCGAGATATGAGCTCCGCCGCCTGTCTTGTGGTGCAGCGCCGCCGCCGGCCGGCGGCGGCGGCGGCGGCGGCGCCGCCTGGCAAGCCGTCCGCGCCGCATGCGTGCCCGCCCTCTGCCCCGCCCTCCTCTCTCTCCTCGTCTCTCTCCTCGTCTCTCCCCTCCTCCCTCGCGCGAATCAGTCCCATCGCGTCTGCCGCCGCGGCGAGGATGCTGCCGACGCGCGCCGCCTCCGCCTCGGCCGCGCCCGCCTCGCCTCCCACCCCGGAGGAGGTCGCGGCGCCCGCGGCGCCCGGGCCGCCGCTCCCGCCGCCGCCAGCCGGCCTCCCGCCCGACGAGAGGCGCGCGGGGTCCGTGGTGCCGCCGGAGGAAGAGGAGGCGGCGGGAGCGGCGGAGGCGGCCGGAGCGGCGGGAGCGGCGGAGGCGGCAGAGGCGGCAGAGGCGGCGGAGGCGGCGGAGGCGGCCGGCGGCGCATCAGCATCCATGGGCGAATTGCAGCGGCCGGAGCCGGCGGTTGTCGAGGAGGCGCCGGCCGAAGCGCCGCTGCGACGGGGGTGGCTTCCTGATGAGCGAGAGGGGAGGGCGGGCGCGCGCGCGGCGAGAGCAGGGCGCACCTGCAAGAGGAGCCCGTGAGTTGCTGCGAGCCGGTGCCAACCGCTCGCGCCGCGGGCGTGACTGCGAGAGGACTCGAGTGCGGCTGCTGCAGCGGCTGCTCGGGCACAGGGCTCTCGCTCTTGTTGTCGGGGCCGCGCGCCGCAGCCGCTGCCGACATCGCCGCCGGCACCGGCGCTCCCGGCTGCTGAGCTGTCTTAGCCGCCTCTACCAACCTGGCTGCCTCCCACATCCTGGCCGCCTCCGCCTCCGCCTCGCTCCCGGGAGGCAGCCGCATGGAGAGCCAGGCCAGCAGCTGGGCCTCGCCATCCGCCGCATTGCTTGCGATTGGCGCCCGGTGTGCGCGTCCTACAGCAGCACTTGCGCTTCGGCCAGCGCGGTAGAGGCTCCGCAGGAGCTCGATCTGCACGTTTCCAAAGTAGACATCGCTTGGAGGGGAGAAGGAGTCAAATGTCGACCGACCCAGTCCGAGCGCTCCTCGCAGCTCGGCATCGGGAGAGAGGAAGCCACATGCGGCGCAGGAGAAGGCGTCGGAGCGAGCGGCGGCAGCCGTGGCCGTGCCGCCGCACGCGTCGCAGGTCATTACCCCCGGGGCGGGTGGCTGGTGTCCCGGTTCGTTGCTGCGCTTCGCGGTCACGCGCGAGACGGAGTAGGGGTCGGAGCTGTGGTGAGTGTGGCTTTGCCTCCCCCTCCGACACCGTGCTGGATAAGAAAATATGGGGTCAGGGCGTCCTCCCATCCCTCCCTTGGGGTGTCTGTTTTTTATTTTTTCTTTGAGTGCGGTCAGCAACCTCACGAGCAGACGGCTTCGTTACGAAGCTGCCCCCAGCAGGCGTCTTGACGGGTATCAAATTTTTTTACAAAGAATATACTTAAGACAAAGAGGCCAACGGAACTTTTTCTTTCTCATACTATGAGCGGCACCGCGAGCCCCCTGTTGACCGATCTGGCGGTGGGCGACCTGGGCTCGCTGCGCGCCCTCCTCTCCGGGCGGGGGACGCGCGGCACGTCGCTCACGGCCCAGCTTGACGCGCGACTCGACACAGATACGCAGGACACGCTTCTCACCTGGGCCGCTCGGCACGGGCAAGCCGAGGCGGTGCGGCTGCTGCTCGAAGCCGGCGCGAGCGTCGGGGCGACGACTGGCGGCGGCGCTTCCGCGCTGTTCATCGCGTGCCAGAACGGCCACCTCGAGTGCGCCCGGCTGCTCCTCGAGGCCAGCGCGGCGGTCAACCAAGCCCGCGACACTGGCGCCACGCCGCTGTACATCGCGTGCCAGAAGGGCCACCTCAACATCGCCCGGCTGCTTCTCGAGGCCGGCGCAAGCGTCGGGGCGGCTGATGGGAGCGGCGCTTCTGCTCTTCTCCTCGCGTGCCAGGAGGGCCATGTCGAGTGCTCCCGGCTGCTCCTTGAGGCGGGCGCGGCGATCAATCAAGCCAATCAAGGTGGCCTCACTCCGCTGCTTGCTGCGTGCCACTTCGGCCACATCGAGATCGCGAGGCTGCTGCGCGACGCTGGCGCAGCGGTCGGCCAAGTCATGGATGGCGGCATCACGCCGTTGATCATGGCATGCCTGCAGGGGCGCGTCGAGTGCGCCCAGCTGCTCCTCGAGGCCAGCGCTTCGGCCAACCAGGCGGCGGACAATGGCGCCACGCCGCTGTTCATCGCGTGCCAGCAGGGCCGCGTCGAGTGCGCCCAGCTGCTCCTCGAGGCCAGCGCTTCGGCCAACCAGGCGGCGGACAATGGCGCCACGCCGTTGTACGCTGCGTGCGAGGCAGGCCACATCGACATCGTCCGGCTGCTTCTCGAGGCCAGCGCGGCGGTCAACCAAGCGATGAACGACGGCACCACACCGCTCTACATCGCGTGCCAGAAGGATCACCTCGACATCGCCCGGCTGCTTCTCGAGGCCGGCGCAGCGGTCGACCAAGCCGAGGAACAAGGCACCACGCCGCTGTTCAGGGCGTGCTACCAAGGCCACGTCGAGATCGCGAGGCTACTGCGCGATGCTGGCGCAGCGGTTGGCCAAGTCATGGCTGGCGGCGTCACGCCGTTGATCGTCGCGTGCCAGAAGGGCCACGTCGACATCGCCCGGCTGCTTCTCGAGGCTGGCGCAGTGGTTGACCAAGCTGCGGGCAACGGCGTCACGCCACTGATCATGGCGTGCCACCAGGGCCACCTCGAGGTCGCCAAGCTCCTCTCCTCCTACGGCGCCTCCCGCGCCGCTACGCCATCCGTCGGCACGCCCGAGGAGGCCGCAACCAGCGCAGGCCAGGCCGACCTCGCCGCCTGGCTGGTCGCCAGCCGCGGCTGGACGCCGCTCGCGCACCTTGAGAGCCTCAGCGCCGCCCGCGCTCTCTCCCTGCTGCGCAGCGGCGCAAGCCTGCACGAGGGCGAGCCGACGCCGCTGCAGCGCGCCGCGGGCGGCGAGGGTGAGGCGGCGGCGTTGGTCCGGCGGGCGGCGGCGCCGTGGTCGCCGGCAAGCCACTCGCTCTTCCCCGCGGCGGCCCGCGCGCGGGCGGCGCTCCTCGTCGTCTCGCTCTACGAGATCCACGAGCGGCACCATCTCGACTCGGCAGGAAACACGAACGGCATCGCGGCGCGCGACTTTGTCGGGTGCGTGCTGCGCTTCGCGATCACGCGCGAGACGGAGTAGGGGAGCGTGAGTATGTTGCCTTCTCGCCTCCGACCGAGGTGCTGTCTTGAGGGTCCGGAGGCTGGGACTGTGTGCTTTTAGAGAGCGCATTACGAGTAACAGAGCGCCTCCAGCGCACTTGGAGTGGGCCGCGCACTTGGAGCACTTGGAGAGTGCAGTCATCAACCTCACATCCAGGGCCGGGGAGCTGAGGAGCGCACCCAGGAGCGGGCCGGATGATCGGGATCGGGTTGCGGGCAAGAGAGCCCTAGCCCCGGGGGTGCGCGTTCGCAGGGCAAGGGCCATAAAGTAAACACGGGTCTCCGAGAGAGGGCTCCGTGTACCGGGTTTCCCCTTAACTGCAGAACGCCCCCTCTACTCGGAGCTAGTGGACACGGACACTACGACACTGTACTCCACGTACGTACACGGACACGCCTCATGTGCGCCCGCCCGACTCCGGTCCCATTGCGGAGCTAAGTGCATTGCCGTTCTGAACGGAGTCGCTTATCAGGCGGCTCCTTTGCGTATGTTCTTAGTGCTAGCACGCGCCAGTCCGCACCTGTGTGTCGAGCCTGTCTGCTGTGAGTCCTCCACCCGGCGCAAGTCGAAAAAAAACAAAAAGAAGGTTCCGAGACACTTCCCAGACACTTCCGAGGCAACAAGGAATTCGACAAGGCAACAAGGTGGACAGGTCAACGACTTGCCTCCCTCTCCCCGCTCGCCGCCGCCGCCGCCGCCGCCACCGTGCGGCCGCCGCGCCCCCCGCCCCCCCCCGCTCTCGCTCCGACGCTCCACCGCAGTCGCTACTTTCCTGCTCGGCGGCACGTGGCTCGCGAGGCCAGTCAGCTCCTCTTCCCCTCTATCACCTCGCTCCACCCGCCACCGCCACCTCCGCTGCCTCCGCCGCCTCCGCCGCTGCCGCCGCCGCCCCGCCCCCTTGTCCGGTGTTCCAACCTCGCAGTCGCGTTCGTCGTCTCGCCTCGGTTCCTCGGTGCAAGCATGCGTGGTGAGAGAGCGTGATCCATATTGGCGCCGGGTGTCACTCGACTGCGCCTGCCCGGCCCGGCCCCGCCCTTCGCTTCCGCTGCCAACCGCAGTTGCAAACAAGCCTCCGGGCGGCTCGAGCTTCTTTCGGCAAGTGGCCCTGTGTGTGCTTCTCTCCACGTCCACCACCGCCCGTCACCTCCCTCTCCCCCATCACCGCCGCCGCCGCCGCCGCCGCCACCGTGCGGCCGCCGCGCCCCCCGCCTCCCCCCGCCCTCGCTCCGACGCTCCACCGCAGTCGCTACCTTCCTGCTCGGCGGCACGCGAGGCCAGTCAGCTCCTCTTCCCCTCTATCACCTCGCTCCACCCGCCACCGCCACCGCCACCGCCACCTCCGCCGCCTCCTCCGCCGCCGCCGCCCGCCCCGCCCCCTTGTCCGGTGTTCCAACCTCGCAGTCGCGCTCGTCGTCTCGCCTCGGTGCCTCGGTGCAAGCATGCGTGCGGTGAGAGAGCGTGATCCATGTTGGCGCCGGTGTCACTCGGCTGCGCCTGCCCGGCCCGGCCCCGCCCTTCGCTTCCGCTGCCAACCGCAGTTGCAAACAAGCCTCCGGGCGGCTCGAGCTTCTTTCGGCAAGTGGTCCTGTGTGTGCTTCTCTCCACGTCCACCACCGCCCGTCGCCTCCCTCCCCCCCTCCACCGCCGCCGCCGCCGCCGCCGCCACCGTGCGGCCGCCGCGCCCCCCGCCTCCCCCCGCCCTCGCTCCGACGCTCCACCGCAGTCGCTACCTTCCTGCTCGGCGGCACGTGGCTCGCGAGGCCAGTCAGCTCCTCTTCCCCTCTATCACCTCGCTCCACCCGCCACCGCCACCGCCACCTCCGCCGCCTCCTCCGCCGCCGCCGCCCGCCCCGCCCCCTCGTCCGGTGTTCCAACCTCGCAGTCGCGCTCGTCGTCTCGCCTCGGTGCCTCGGTGCAAGCATGCGTGCGGTGAGAGAGCGTGATCCATATTGGCGCCGTCTCTCCATCACCGCCCGTCGCCTCCCTCTCCCCCCTCACCGCCGCCGCCGCCGCCGCCGCCACCCTGCGGCCGCCGCGCCCCCCGCCCCCCCGCTCTCGCTCCGACGCTCCACCGCAGTCGCTACCCGTCCTGCTGCTCGGCGCTGCCGCCCTCACGAGGCGATGATATGGTGACGGACGAATGGTGACGGAGCCACGATGACACCGACAGCCGCACAGCACCTTCACCAACGCACATGCGATCCCGAAGACCGCCGCCACTCCTCCTGCCACCGCTCTCTCCTCCGCCGCCGCCGCGGCGCCCGCCCCTCGCTCCCGCGCTCCAACCGCAGTCGTCGCTGCTCTTCGTTCTGCTGCTCGGCGCTGCCGCACACGAGGCGATGATACGGTATGGAGACAGACAGACAACCCACTGACGAGGCGATGATATGGTATGGAGACAGACGGACAACCCACTCACAGGCAGTCCACGAAGCAACCATCTCCTCCTCCCTTGGACCTCCTCGCCACCCGCTCTATGCCTCACCGCTCCACGCATCTCGACCGCACCCTATTCTTCAACTGTGATGCGCCCGGGTCTCTTCGCGCCGCGGGACCAGCTCGGACACGCTCCTCCACCGCTCCACGCATCTCGACCGCACCCGATTTTTGAACTGTGATGCCCGGGTCTCTTCGCGCCGCGGGACCAGCTCGGACACGCTCCTCCACCGCTCCACGCATCTCGACCGCACCCGATTTTTGAACTGTGATGCGCCCGGGTCTCTTCGCGCCGCGGGACCAGCTCGGACACGCTCCTCCACCGCTCCACGCATCTCGACCGCACCCGATTTTTGAACTGTGATGCGCCCGGGTCTCTTCGCGCCGCGGGACCAGCTCGGACACGCTCCTTCACCGCTCCACGCATCTCGACCGCACCCGATTTTTGAACTGTGATGCGCCCGGGTCTCTTCGCGCCGCGGGACCAGCTCGGACACGCTCCTCCACCGCTCCACGCATCTCGACCGCACCCGATTTTTGAACTGTGATGCGCCCGGGTCTCTTCGCGCCGCGGGACCAGCTCGGACACGCTCCTCCACCGCTCCACGCATCTCGACCGCACCCGATTTTTGAACTGTGATGCGCCCGGGTCTCTTCGCGCCGCGGGACCAGCTCGGACACGCTCCTTCACCGCTCCACGCATCTCGACCGCACCCGATTTTTGAACTGTGATGCGCCCGGGTCTCTTCGCGCCGCGGGACCAGCTCGGACACGCTCCTCCACCGCTCCACGCATCTCGACCGCACCCGATTTTTGAACTGTGATGCGCCCGGGTCTCTTCGCGCCGCGGGACCAGCTCGGACACGCTCCCCCCTCCTCCACCGCTGCACGCCTCTCGACCGCACACTGCTCAACTGCCTTCTGCAATGCGCCTGGGTCTCTTCGCGCCCTGCGGGGACTTAGCTCGGCATGCTCACTTCTCGCAATCTGGCACACGGAGATTCGATGACCATGGCAAACTGGAACACACAGCGAATGGAGACCATACAGCGGCTCAGAGCACGTGTAGACTGCCATGGCGAGGCGCTCTCTTTGGTCGAGGATGCTCACTTCGCCCGCGCCCAACCCACTCCCCGGCCCAGCCACTCCCCGTGTAGACACAGTACAGAGGGGTGACGGGTACAGCACACATGCCCGTCACCCCCAACCCTTCCCGCTGTCAGCAGCGCCTCACGAGGCGCCGGGCTGCAAGGTCACTCGAGATGACCCGGCGGGGTAATGGTGTGCCTAGGGTGTGTGGTTCATGCGTGCGCGGTGTCTCTCGATCCGACCTGGTCAGATCGTCAACGCGCGCGCGGAGGAACACTCAGTGAGATCACGTATTACCGCCGTCGGCTGCGCCTTGCGTGTCGTGTGAGGTACGGCTTAAGTTTTAAGGCCAAGTTGACGTATTTTTTTTCAGGGCCTTGAGGGCCTTTTCGATTGGGCTCCTACTTTTTCAGTCATTCAGTGTATGTGGCGGAGCACTTGGAGCACTTGGAGTGCAATCATTAGCTCACATCCAGGGCCGGGGAGTTCGCCGCGCATTTCTTCTCTGCTGGATGTCGCTCGGCGAACTGTAGCATCGCTCCTTGTGAGATCCCGACGCATGGGCATCGACGACGACGTCGAGGCGAGGCTTACGCACGAGGTGCCGAAGGTGACGCACCCGCTGGAGTCCCTGCCGCCGCACACGCTGCAGCTGCACCCCCTCACCGCCGAGCCCAGCGGCATGCTGGCGAGGCTTGCGCTGCGGGGTCGCTTGGAGGACGGCGTCCTCGAGCACCCCGCTGCCGCTGCACGCCAGGCGGAGGCTGCCGTTGCGGTAGCCACTCCGCAGCGGGCGGCGGTGGCGGAGGTGGCGGTGCGGGCTGGCGGGCTTCAACCCTCACACGGTGTGGAGGCGCCAGAGGAGGCGCCGGAGGGGCAGCCGGGTGCGAGCGCGATGGAGGAGACCGCGCCGGCGGAGCACGCGGCGGAGCACGCGGCGGAGGAGGCCGCCAAGCACGCTGCGTCGCCGGCGGCAGACGCGGCGGGCGCCGCTCCGCCCACCGATGCGACGATGGAGGGCGAGGGGGCGCTGTCCGCGGGGGTGGAGCCAATCGAAGAGGAGGCGCTGGCTGCGGCGGCGGCGGCGGCGGAGGCGGCGGTGGGCGCGGAGGAGATGGAGGCGGCAGCGGCGGTGGGCGCGGAGGAGATGGAGGCGGAGGCGGCGGTGGGCGCGGAGTTGTGCCCGGGCCACGGCGTGCCAGCCGCTTGCGCGCGCCAGAGCAAGCTAATGCGCGGCGAGGTCACGATCGCCGGCGCGGCGATGGCCGCCTTTAAGTTAGCGGCGAAGGAGATGGAGGCGGAGGTGGCGGTGGGCGCGGAGGAGATGGAGGCGGAGGCGTCGGAGGCAGCGGAGGAGGAGTGGTGGGAGGCGGAGGCGGAGGCGCAGCGCGCGCCGGACGAGCGGCTCGCGGCAGAGGGCGAGGCGGAGGTGGGAGAGACCGCACCGCTGCCGCCGCGCGCAGCGACGAGCGGCGGCGGCGCCGCCGCCAGCCTGCCGTTGTCGAAGTCGCCGCCGAAGAACAAGCGGGGCGTTTGCGACAGCGGGCCACTACCACCAGGTGCGGCTCGCCCACTGCTCGGGTTGGCTCATTTTCAGAAAGATCTCTCCGAGGCCGCGATGGAGGCGGCGATGGTGGCGGCGGTGCAGCGGGTGGAGGCGGCGGCGCAGCGGGTGGCGGTGACGGCGCCGCATATCCTCGACCGGGAAGGGGACCGGGAGGGCATGCGGCTGCTGGAGGCAGCGTTGACCGCAAAGGCTGGCGTGGTGGTGGCGGCGTCGGCTGCCGCCTGGCGCACGGCGGCGAATGTGGCCTCCGCAATGCGGCTGTGTCGCATTGGCGCCGCCGACAACACCACGCCCCCACTGCCGCCTCCCCAGCTCCTCGACCTGCCACCCGAGCTCCTCGCGCGCATTGTCTCCCAGTGCGACAGCCACATCGACATTGCTCGCACCGCGGCCGTCTCGCACTTCCTTCACGACTCAGTCGTAGACGAGGGACTTCGCTTACGGGCGCAGGAGCGGGGCTACGATCTCGAGCTACTGCGAGGGCATTGGCTGTCCAAAGGCTGCCGTGGCGGGTTGTGCTATGCGGCAATGCTACGCGAGGCCAACCCGCCGGCGTTGGTGGCAGCCAGCCAGAATCACAGCCTCTTCATTGACAGCGAGGGGCGGCTTGCGTCCTGCGGCAGTGAGGACGCTGAGGAGGACGAGGAGGATGAGGACGATATGGACATGTCCCTCCCCGGGCTTCTCGGACACGGAGAGAGCGTGACCCAGTTGAGCGTGCCGACCCGCCTCCCGTCTAGCCTCGGCGGCGAGTGCGCCGAGAGCGTGGCGGCGGGAGATAATCACAACCTCGCCGTCACCGCCGGCGGCGCCCTCTGGTCCTGGGGCGAGGGAGCCAGCGGCTGCTTGGGCCACGGCGACGTGCAGGACCAGCACCAGCCGAAGAAGATCGAGGCGCTGGCAGGGCACCGCGTCGTTGCTTCGTCGGTTGGCTGCGCTCACAGCCTCGCGATCACAGGCGATGGCGCTTTATGGTCCTGGGGTGCGGGATGCCCATTGGGCCAAGGCGACCGTGATACTCAGCTGCTGCCAAAGCGAATCGACGGGATGGGACGCGTCATCGCGGTGTCGGCAGGGACTTGGCACAGCCTCGCCATCACCGCCGACGGCGCCGTTTGGAGTTGGGGCAAGGGCAGCGAGGGCCGCCTGGGCCACGGCGACGAGGAGGACGTGTTGCTGCCCAAGCAGATCGCGTTCTTGGCTGGGCAGAGCGTCATCGCTGTGTCGGCAGGAGAGAGTCACAGCCTCGCCATCACCGCCGATGGCGCTGTATGGTCTTGGGGCGACGGACGGGGTGGACGCTTAGGCCACGGCCCGAGAGTTGAGGACACAGAACACCATCTGCTCCCGAGGAGGATTGATGGCTCGCTGCCACCGCCGCCGGCGGCCACCACGAGAGGAGCAGAGGAGGCCGCGGCGGAGGGTAGTGGAGGTGATGGGGCTGACTCCTCTGCGGCGGGCGATGCTGCTGCTGCTGCTTCTGCTGCTGCTGCTGCTGCCGCCGCCGCCGCCGCCGCTGCCGCCGCCGCTGCCGCTGCTGCTGCTGCTGCGGCGGCGGCGGCGGCGGCGACTAGAGCCCCGGCGGAGGGGGGGGCAATCGCCATCTTCCCAAGGCGATTTGCACACCACTATGCACGCCCGGCTCGATCTCCCGGTTGGAAGGAACGGCGAGTCGTTTCTGTGGCGGCGGGAGAAGATCACAGCATTGCCATCACCGCTGACGGTGCCTTCTGGGTATGGGGCAATGGACAGGAAGGACAGCTAGGTCACGGTGTTGAGCCGGGTTTCTTCTTTCGGCCCAGGCAGGTTGCGGCTTTGGCTGGCCGGCGCGCTGTCGCTGCGGCGGCCGGAAGCTCGCATAGCCTCTTCGTCACGGCCGACGGTTTGGTCTGGAGCTGCGGGTGTGGGGACGAGGGCCAGCTAGGCCACGGCGACAAGGAGATGCAGTCGCGGCCCACGATGATTCGGGACTTTCAAGCGTCCGCGTCAGTGGCGCCGGCACGGGCTGCGGCAGAGGCTGCGGCGGCGGCAGAGGCTGCGGCGGCGGGACGGCAGAGGCTGATGCAGGACCGGATCGCGCGGCTGCACGCACTCTTCGCTGCGCGAGAGAGAGGCGGCGGCGGCGACGGAGGCGAAGGCGATAGCGGCACCACATGACACAGACACGCTCACCTCACTTGCACAGGAGATGCGGGTGCGCGCGGCGCGGCGTCACCCACCCACCCACGTTCCGTCCGCTCAACCGCCCTCCTTGTGATGTGTGTCAATGTGTCAATGGTGCCTGATTTCTTATTATTTTTCTCTTGTGCCGAGATCGTTTGGAGGAAAACAATTTAAACAAAACAACTCTCTCTCACAAGAAAGAAAACTGACAACCGCTCCCCGCGGTCGTATAACTTCTTTTTTTGCCGACTAATAAAGCTGAGCTCGCCGGCAATGCTCTCCATCAGCAGCGCATCTGCTGCACTCGCGCCCATGGCGCTGCTGCGCGGTGGTGGCGGCGTGCCACTCCTCCCATCCCTCCCTTGGTTGTTTTTCTTTCTTTCTTTCTTTAAGCAGGGCACTAGACCAGGAAGGACTGGGATGTGAAAGGAGGGACACGTGTGGTTCGGACGCGTGCGAGGCTGCTGTGAAAACCATAATTGCGCAAGAGATGTCGCTCAGCCTGCTGTCTTCTGCCCCGGTCGGCTTCGCTGCCCCGCTGCCGGCGGTGCGGCCGGTGGCCCAGCCCGCAGCGGCTCGCTCAACGCCGCCCGTGATGGAGACGATCGACGACCTGAAGAGCCTCGCGGTCAAGGCCAACCCGGTCGTCGGCTACTGGCGCCGGGCTTAGATGCTTCCCGACGGCACTGGCAAAGCACACACATGGACACAGCACCTCGGCACGCGGCGACCACGAATTCGCGCCGGCGTGCGGCTCGAGCGGTCTCGCCTTGCCTGCCGCCGCCATCGCCCGCCACCACAAGCCCCGACGGCGCCGCCGGTTTCGCGCAGGAACCCGACGCCGCTCGCCGACATGGGCTTCTGGGGGCAGTCGCAGGAGGCCACCATCGGCTTCCTGCGCCACGCCGAGCTGAAGCACGGACGCGTTGCGATGGTGCGCCGTCCCCAGCTCCGCTGCTGGAGCCGCTGTCTGCGAGCCGCCTTCCCATGCGGCGCCGCCTCGTCGCCTACCGTAGGCTGCGTTTGTCGGCTTCTGCCTGCAGTCGAACGGCGTGCACTTCCCGTGGGCGTGCACGCTCGAGGGCACCACCTTCGGCGACATCGCCGCGGCGGGCGGCCCCGCCGCGCAGTGGGACGCTCTGCCCACCAACGCGAAGCTGCAGATCCTCCTGCTGATCGGCTTCTTCGAGCTTCTCTCCGAGAACACATATGCGCTCGCGCAGTCTGGGCAGAAGCACTACATGCGCGGGGGTGGGCCAGCCTAGATGTGGAGCACCATTCGAGCTCTCTCTCTCTCTCTCTCTCTCTCTCTCTCTCTCTCTCTCTCTCTCTCTCTCCCTCCCTCCCTCCCTCCCTCCCTCCCTCCCTCCTTCCCTCCCTCCCTCCCTCTCTCTCTCTCTCTCTCTCTCTCTCTCTCTCTCTCAAGAGGTGGACACCGTCCCCAGTCGACCGCAGTCGACCGCAGTCGGCCGTCCCCACGCCGTAGCCACCACGCCGTCGCCAGCGCGCCCATTCCCGCGGGACGCGCCGCTGCAGTGCCCCTGCTCCCTGCCTCTGCTCCCTGCCTGCCCGGTCCCCTCCTCTCCTCCTCCCCCTCCT